TCTCGGCACGGGCGGCGGCGGTCTCGGCACGGGCGGCGGCGGTCTCGGCCCGGGCAGCAGCGGCATCGACTTGAGCGGCAGCGAGGGCCCCGTCCTCCCTCGTAGACTGCCAAAGCAGGTTCCGGTCCACCAGCAGGATTGCTCTCAAGAACCATCCATGCCGATCAGGATCGGCCAGGGCGTCACGAATTGTCTTGTCCCAAAGGACAACAGCACGAGCGGCCAGCCAGATCCCCACTGGGAGCCACAAGGGCGACAGGAGCATGGCGGCCATGACCCATGAAGGGAGAACCGGACGGACGTTGGATTCGATCTTCGCCATCTCCTCCACCATCATCTTGATGGCCGTCACCGCTTCCTGGGCAATATCCTCCCTCACAACCACATAGCCCTTCTGAAGAGGGGCTTTAACCCCAGAGACGAGAAGCAAAACAAAAAAAACGAAAAGGAGGCGCTTCATCGTCTTCATCGTCGTCGTCATCATCATCATCATCATCATCACCATTATCATCATCATCGTCATCGTCATCATCGTCATCGTCGTCGTCGTTGTTGTTGTTGTTGCTGCTGTTGCTGCTGTTGCTGCTGTTGCTGCTGTTGCTGCTGTTGCTGCTGTTGCTGCTGGTGGTGCTGCTGTAACGTGTGTCGTGATGAAAAGCTTGGAGAAAAACGCAATTAGGCTTCGACGGTTTGTTTACCTCGAGCTCGTGGACTCCTGCCATTTTGCTGCGGTGGGTAGTTTCCTCTGATCTGTTGCGGAAGGAGCTCTTCACAGATTGGCATACTGAGCTCACTGAACACTGAACACTGAACAGCAACATTAGTATTGGCAGCGAGACAATAACTAAAGGGATCGAAAAGGCATACGTACAGGCTGTTATTTGCTGATGTGTGTGGCAGATACAGTCATCTTATACAAATGCAAAGACAATCACAGCATATGTTGAAGTGGTGATCGATTGATTGATTGACCAGATAATGCAGTATGGACCGCGATCTTCAAATGCCATATTCACTATGCGTGATCAAAGATGCAATTCACTCTGTCACTATGTTCATACATTTCTCCTGGATACTGGCTCCTATCCTTTTTAATTCATTCTCTTACTACATCGCAACTACTCTCTAGTACTGACCAGCCGCCGCCTGGCATGCCTTGAGTTGGTCAAGATACCATCCACAAATAGTCAAGCTACCCTGATTCTCGTCCATGCACTTGCGGAAGCTCTGGACGTCGTTTGCGCAGGGACCCGACTGTGCCATTTGAGCGGATGCCTGCTGGTGCTGTGCGGCGAACTCGGTATTCTGGGGCGCGGCGTCGGCAGGGGCGGAAGAACCACCGCTGAAGAGACCGCCAATTGCGTGGCCGATCGAAGATCCTACTGCGACACCGCTGCAACTATGTCAGTCCAGTGTTCAAATTACAAAGTGGGGTGCCTGGCATTCGTGGCGCAAATCGATCAAAGTCGAATATGGTTGCCTGGGACTACTTACGCAGCAGTGCTAGCCATCTGTCCAAACAGACCAGGTCCTTGAGGTGTAGGAGCCTGCGCCTGCTGGACGGGCGCATGAGTGGGAGCATGCTGGGCGGGAGCCGCAGCAGTCGAGTGAGGGCGCGATGACGCGGGCGCGGGCGCAGTGGTGGCTTGCCTGGCTGCTGGGACTTGAGGGCGGCGAGGAGGAGCGGTTCCGGAGCGTTGGCGAGGCATTTTGTTGTTGTTATTGTTGTGATGTCGTTGTTATGTGTCGGGGCGTTGTGTTTGCGATACGTGGTAGAATTGGTGTTGCGATGGCAAATTGAAGATGTCAACCTCCGAGGTTCAAGAAACATCGTCGGTGTTAGCGCATTTTAGACGGCTTGGCATGCATGTTCGTCATCGACACGTTGATTGGCTTCTATTCTTCATGCCCCTGTAATTACGCCATTCATGTGGCTGCTATGTTTTGCTTTGCCTATAGCGCTCGGGTTAAGTATTAGAGTAGTCTAGTCTAGTCTCACGACCGAATGCCGGAACTCATGCATTGCATTCGATAGTATGAATATTGGCCCGGACATAGAGCAGTTCCTGCAACAAGCTCCAAGTTCTCGTTTAGCACACGTCCTCAATCTCGACGTCGCCCCCAGACCTCGGTCCGCGATCAGAGCGCAATGTGCGATTAAATAGCTCTTTGAGCATCTCGAAACAGATCCCCGACAACGCAGCATCGTAGCGCCCCTTGCTAAGCTCATCTCGGATAAAAGCATCTGTCGGACGGGTTAGTACGCCAGAAAGGTTCTAGCAGACACGATTAGGTATACTCACGTTGCGCCCAGGCTGGTTCGTAAAAGGAAAAGGTAACGCCTGCCTCATGCAGTGACTTTCTGATCAGGTCTCGGCCTGCTGGTGGTACGTGCGTGTCCATCTTGCCGAATATCATGACAAGCTCGCCTTTGATGTCTTTACAGCGAGCAAGCGAGTCGTCCTTTTTGCCCTTTCCCAGAGTACTGCTGTGAATATCGGTTGCAAAGTAGCAAATTGCTGCAGAGACGCGTGAATCGAGAGCGCAACGGTATGCCAAGTGACCTCCTAGACACATGCCTGCAAAGACGATGAGCTGCGTACTTATCCCTTATAAGAAATCAATACTTGCCAGTAGCTCCGATTCTTCCGTTGCATGTTGGCATTGCAAGTAATGTGTCTACCGAAAGAGAAGCATCCTCGTCATAAGCTTGGACCGTCTTTGTGATTTTCCATTCATTGCCCTTGTCAGTACCAGGGACATCGTATGCAAGTGGTTCAGGCCCGGTAAACTCATGGTAGGAAGACGGCGCTGCGACAATGTAGCCTTGGGAAGCGATTTGTCGTGCAAAGCGAGCAACCGGCCCAGTCACTGCAAGTATCAGTAAAATCCAATGATAGTTATTTTCTTGGTGTATCAAACGACATGCACAACGAAGAATCGAAATTACCTTGGTAAATTTCAGAGAAGACTACGACACCAGGAAACCTTGCTTTGGGGTAGTTTGGAATGGAGGGGTGGAAGATGAAGATCCCTGGACCGTCAGTTAAGTTGCCACAATTAATGCACCCAGGGACCACAAACTCATGTCACCACCTGCCTCTGTGGGCACATCTTTGTGTGTTTCCGTAATGAGCATTGTGATGGCAATTCAGCGTGGCTGTATGTGGCGTCTGCTGTTTACTCAACGCGTGGGCGTGAGAGTTTGAGAATGCCGTTGAAGTGGGGTGGTGGGGTACGTAAGTTTAGTTTTAGCACGGTCCATGTCGCTGAGCTGAACGGGAGAGCGTGGCTTGTGGTAATCTATCAATCTGACAGCAAGAAAATATTCGAGCCAGGCGTTGGACAATGCTCATTTCCATGTGTGATGCCGCTCTTTGATATTCGACCGAATACCAGGGTTCTGTTGCGAAAGCCCATTGAGCACTACACGATTGGTAACGTCGTCCCCTGCAGAGTGTGGCAAGATGGAAGCAAGCGTTAAGGGTGCAATACCCTCTTTGTCGGCCGAGGTACCCAGCAAAAAAACAGCCCCTATTATATCAAAGCTATCATCTGCGATCAGCCACTCTCATCACAATGTAGTTGAAATGTAGTTCTATAAATAAGAATGCTTGGATTTATGTATAGATCGATACGTTAAAAATTAATCATCTTACTTGGTAATACTAGTGTGGAGTGACACATGATTGGTATTCCGCTTTTTTTGGTGGGTGTAGTTTTCACGCGAATATTCGGTCGACCAAGAGCCGTACCCCACGAACACCTCTCCATTACTCAAGTCGAGTCATTCTTATCGTCTTGCATGGACATCATTTTAGTCTCAAACAGTGGATGAGGGGACGGGCGTGGTCTACAAGCTGAAGCGAACGGGGAAGCGAGCCAGTGCGGAAGCCAATTCGATGGAAAACGGGGCCTGGGGCAGCGGGGAGGCGGGGAGCGGACTGAGTAAGTAGAGGGCGATCTGCGCTACTGACGCCTCGCCATATACGCCATACCTACCAACGTATGATTCCCTACCAATGACAATAGAGTAGTAGAAGAGCTCTATACCAACCAAAGCGCGTTCCTGGCGATAGTAAAAGTTAAATTTTTTTTTAAGGTTTGCAATCAGGGTGCCAATCTCGAGAGCTGTCGATAGTAGCTATGATTCGCTTAATCCTTCTTATCCTGGGGCATTTGTGGGTCCGTACAATGCTGACTGGCTGGGCAACATACGATTGCAGACGTGTAGCAGTTCGGGACCTTTCACGGTGAGACTTCCGATTCATTTAAGGGCATGTTCTCTAGTCTCTTGCTGGACAACGGGAACGAATACCCTTATTGATCAATTGTGTGGGACGCTCCACCTACTGTGTATGCGATGATGCTTGCCTATACAGGTTTTGAGAGCCATTGTTCCCCAACATCTCCATCTGCATGGCACAAGTTTGGTGGCAGGTGGCTGTACTAAAAGCCGCATGCCAAGTATATCTGACATGGGCACCCTGGGTGACGAATAGACTTGACAAGGAGTTTGGATTGTATTGCGTCGTAACCTGCTCCATGCCAGACAGTGCACCATAACACTGGGAATGACCAAGTAGAGGATGGAAGAATGTTGGGTTTTACATCCATATATGTACCATGATATAGGGAAAAGGTTATGGATAACGATGATACAACGCGAACTCTCGGCTTTGCATGGGCTTTTTTAGGAACAACGCACAGGCCACGATGCCCCGTACTAAAGATGAGCGTGCTGGGTATGGCAGGTTTAGTGGCAGCCTTCATCTATTACGAAGCTGTGAAGACGCCGCTAAGTTTTTTGCTCGGACGAGAGCCGGTCATCTCATTTGTCGGACATGTGTCCTAAACAGCGCACATGGCTAGCCCGGTGCGCGTTAGACGAGTGGCTGTATCGCTGGCTACTTAGAAATCGAACCGAGATGTCGTGGGCATGGCGAGTCACGGGCGCGACATACAAGGTCTCGAAGAGCCCTTGTCAGAGTGGTACCTGCCAATTTGATCTCGGGTTTCTAAAAGCCCGTATGCACCTTAAGACTGCGGGAACCCTTGTGACTTACTGAGCCGTTAGATCTAAAATCAATTTTGTCTGCGCAACACAAGTAGGTGCATGTTCAATCTGGATTAAGCATTATGGCCAACGCCCAAGATGCAGTTAGTAGAGAAACTCGAGTACGTGAAAGAAGGAAAAACTGAGCACCACTGCAAACACATAGGTCACTAATTCCGGGCAGGCTCCTATTACACTCGCCGTTGTCGCCGTCTTTACAGTACTCTCAAGCGTCTGCGTAGCCCTTCGATTCTACACCAGGTGACCGGAATCGCCCAAAGAAACCCAGAGAGTGGCAGTCTAACAAGCAAGATAGGAGGGTAATACTACAATTTGTCGGGCCCGATGATTACATGATCTTGGTAGCACACACTCTGAGCCTTGCCCAGTCCGGTGTCAATTTCGGAATCGTGATAGCTGGTGGTGCAGGACAACATATTGAGCACGTGCAGGACAAGTTGCCAACATTCAAGCGGGTAAGAAGAAGCTGCGTTGGAGACGAGTTAGTCGGTACATGTGATATTAACCCGAGGTAGTTGATGTTGGCTGCGACAGCAGTCTACAACGCAGCGCAGATTGCGACCAAAATCTCGCTTCTCATTCAGTACTGCAACATTTTTCCTGGCAGGGCAATGCGACTCATTTCGCAATGGGGCATTGGGTTACTTCTTTTATGGGGGATAGCGCAGCAGTAAGTCGCAGCCGTAGGAGGGGGGGGGGGCTGAGCCAAAGTCAATACTAACAAGGTAACTTTCAAAGGGGATTGACACCGTGCATGTGCTCGTATGCGTCGATTACCACTCTGACGCCAGAAAACTGCGTCAACGACGATATGTAAGCGAAGGGTGCATCATCATGTGTACATATAATGAGAAGTTTGGACTTGTTGCTGACAGTAGGCAGACCGATTGCACTCAATGCCATTATCAACATGGTGACGGATTTCCTAATTCTTATTATCCCTATCAAGCCTGTGCTTGGGTTGCAAATCAACTGGGTACGCAAGACGTACCTGCTAGTTGTTATGTGTATGGGCTTGGGGTTAGTGACATGGGTTGATGCGTAGCGGTGGAGAAGTGCTAACAAACTGGTAGTGTATGCATAATCTCAGCCGTACGGCTCGACATGTTGGTTGGAGGTAGGCACGACTGGAGAGACATAACGTGGAAAATAGCAGCCATCGCATACCTTTCGACAATAGAAACAAGCGTGGGGATAATGTGTGCCTGCATTCCGGCGCTTCGGCCACTGATGAAGAGAGTGGTGCCAAACCTGCTGGGATCAAGTGCAAAAGACACGACGAATGGTGCGATGCAATACGGAAGCAGAGGCACAAAGCTGGCCGAGGCAAGCGGTGCCAAAACAAAAGCGACCCCGGTAAATGGTATTTACGTACAAAAAGACGTCCAATTTCATAGCACGACGGAGCTCAGGGATGTTTCGGCTAAAGGACCGTACCCGGCTTCTGACGGATCATCCGACGATGAGATGAGCTTGGAACGGGCCTTCCCGCCGACAATGGCGAAACCATAACACGACTCGCTTGGGTCGTTTTGCGTTTACAAATCATGAGTAGACTCTCGTCGTTGCTGTGAGGATCAATGTTAATTAGTTCAGCATGTCTTGATTGCATCAATGCCCATGGTGGTGAGAGTGTGAAAGCCAGCCCTTGGAACAAACAAGCGAAGCCGTTTTGGAGGAAGCGCGGATACTTGTTATTATTATTAGACGCCAGCGCCAGTGTGGGCGCCGTCGCCGCCGCTATCGCTGACGATTCGGCTTTGCATGTTCAATTGCATGCAACGCTACCTTTGTTTATGCACACCACATAGTGCTGGTACAAGGAAGTGGCGAGGCATTGTCGGTGTTGGGCAATTACTCTCGGACACGAAATAGTAGCAGGTGCACGCTGGCGTGGATATACAAGTACTTATGGAGGTACATGGCTTATGTTGTAAGTATACAGTAGGGAACGGCACGTCATTGCTCGAGGCGAGGGAGCAGCAGTAGTAGCAGCAGTAGCAGCAGCAGCAGCAGGAGAGTTAGATTTGGAGTACAAGGGGGCGGAGGGCCGGATAAGTGCACTGGGAGAGGCTTGTTCCGAGACCATGACAGCTGGGTAGTGGGGCATAAAGGGCCGATGGGGCAGTTTTGGCATGACAGATGCGCGATGATGTCAGGCATCACATAGTTTGTCGGGTGTGGTGGTGTTGAAGGGCATCAACGCGTGAACTACTTACCAGACAGATGACGCGACGGTTGCGGCGGCACTTTTGGCAACGGCTGTGTGTGGGTATGGGTGTGGGTGTTGGTCTGAGCCGAGGCGGTGGGGGTGGTTTGCCGGGCATGGATTGAGGCTGGATAGGGTCTCACCGCTAATGGCGCCATTTCGGCCGTGGTTTTCAAGCTGGTTGAGATAGCGATGATGAAAGAAAAGCGGAGGGTAAGTAGATCATGGCTGATGCATCAGTGCTTTGGCCCCTTTGGCCCGGGGATTTGGCAACCCCTATTCGCGTGCGTGTAGTGTAGTGTAGTGTAGTGTAGTGTAGTGTAGTGTAGGGTATAGTTTATGTGTAGGTATACACGGACATGTACGTACTATTTCTCGTTGACTTTGATTGATCGTGGTGCTCTTCAGGCCCATGGCGTTGGGAACAGAACATGTGCACACGTGGTTTGCATACTCGGTGGTGCATGGCGGTGAGGGGCAGACAAAGCCGAGGCAAGCCATGGATTGCCAGAACAGGGTGTGTGGATGAAGCCGTTAGGCGTTGCAATAGGCCAGTGGTGTGCACCAAGGCGGCACAGCCATTGGCGCTGGACAGGGCAGTAAGGGCAATGGGTAGAGAGGGTGGTCACGGTGAACAGGGCGGGTGGTGTGGCAGCGGCAGGTGTACAGTGGTAGGAGCAATGTCGAGACGGAGAGGGCATGGTGTTGAGGGGTCTGCAGGGCCGACCAGCTGTCACGTAAAGGGCAGGTGGGGGTGGGCGGCGGCGCTGGATGCAAACACAAATGCAAACAACATGTCAGCCTCACAAAACGTGGCTTGAGCCGCTGGACGGGGGCAGAGGGGGGAGGGAGAGGGGAAGATGGAGCGGTAGGCAGAGGGAGGTACCGGATGGCCGCCTGCAGACACGCGTCTCCTCTACGTAGGTGTATGTAGTTAGTTGAGCACATGCATGGCTACGTCTTCAGAACAAGAAGCGGCGGGCATGCGATTGCGATGTCATGTCGCAGCATCTGCTGTCTGCCATCAAATCGGCTCGTAGACACCCTGGCCGGGGAGTCGAGTCTGTGCGCCGCCTCCCTGCACGAGGGCGTGTCCTGGGTGGCTCCGCTCAGCGCTCAGCGGAGACGCAGATGCAGACGGAGCTGCGAGTCGAGTGTGAGTGGACCATCTCGCGCGACCACTACGCAGCTGGCAGTAAGTACACAGTCGGATATACCCCAAGCCGCGGGCTGCTCACTTCACCCGTCAACGTCGCCACCAGCCCAGATACACACGTCTTGTTGTTGGGCAATCCCGTCCAACACAATTAAACTTTGGCCACGACGGAAGCTGCGGGCCAGGGTCCAGCGAATCTGGCACACATGGACGCGTCTACTGACTGCCCGACCCTGTGCCGCCTATTATATCAAAGCCACCAGGGTCATATCCGCCGCTGCACTTACTTACTTACATGCCTACATACATACATACATACGAGGTGTGCGAGGATCCATGTCCGTCTGTCCGTCTGTCCGTCAGTCTGGAGAGACATACATACATAGACTACACACATACATATACATATACACCACCGCGGGCGTTGCTCATGTGACGCGCCGTGTGACGCCCAGCCAACGGGCGTGCCGCTCACGACAACAACAAAAAAAGTGTTCTGGTCGTGCAGCGATATGGCGTCAGGGCTCGTCGCATGGTGGCCCGAGTGACCAGCAACCTCATGCGCCAGATGCTCGGCAAGGCCGCACCGCCCCAAGGGCCGGCTGTCGTGCTGGTCACAACGCCCGCCAGGGTCATGGGCCGTGGAGAGCGAGAGGGCAGAGCGCAAGAGAGGGCGAGCGAGCGAGACATGTCGAGGGCGAGGGCGAGGGTGAGGCAGCAGAGGCGGTCGTCGTCTGTCAGATTCGACGCAGGGATGCCACAGAGGCACATTGACTAGCGCTATCTTGCTGGGATCCAATCACAGCCTGCAGGGGTTCCATTGCCATGCCAGCCCAGTCAGTGTGTCGAGCAGCTTTTGATGCCCTTTCCAGCTGCCTTTGGGCTGCCTGCGCTGCCTGCCCATCCACCGCCCCTACCGTGGGTGCTCTCGTCCGCCCTCCCCGCGCCCTTCATCATCAAGCCCTCACCCTGTTCCTATTCCTGTTCCTGTTGCTGTTCCTGCTCCTGTTCCTCCTGTTGCTCCTGTTCCTCTCCACACTCTATCCTCGACTCTGCCACTCCCCCCCTCCCATCGCCAGACTAAATCCTGCTAGCCCCTCCACCTCTCCCGCCGCCGCGACAGGACGGCATTCCACATTGGGACGCCATCTAATTTCGTCCTCCTCACCTGCCTGTCCATCCACCTCCCTCTTCTCCCGACTCTGTTGTTCAACTCTTGAAAAATTCCCCTGCGCAAATCAGCGCTGCCCTTCATTTTTTTTGGTTTGGCCTCTTAGCTGCCCTTTTGGCCAGTGCGCCCGTCTCGGGTCGTCCTTTTTTTCCTGGCCACTATCTCGCTGTCCCGGACGCCCGCTGCACTTGCTGCTGCACCTCTCTTTGGCCCACGTCTGGAACACGCCGCTTGGCTTGCTGCCTCTGTGCTACCGTCTGCCGCCAGTGCGCTGCACCCCCTGTGCCGCTGCATAATATCTGTCTGTCCGCCGCCGTTTGCTTTGTTACCTAGGTCCACCCGTCGAGGGCATCCGACCGAGTCCTACTGTACTCTACGTACGTGCCTCGACTCCAATCCCCCACCGCCAAGACATGGTTGGCTCCCTCGCCTCCAGTCACTACCCATTCCCTCCCTCTCCCCCCGCCCTCCATCTAAACACCACCCATTGCTAACTTTGGTCCCAGACCCTAGGTCGCCCCGTCCGACAGCGGAGGCGCCTCGCCAATTTTCCCCCCCGCGGCACAAAAGTTTCAAGTGGGCAGCCCTCGCCGAAGCTCACGGCCTCCCGCCCTCCCCCGTTCCGCGCCTTTCCCCCCCCAAAGAACCGTCGTGCTACATACACACACACACACACGCACAGCCGGTGGGCCCTATATGCAGTCGCGGTCTGCTAGTCTATCAACATGGACACTGAAGATGGCCAGCTCTTCATAAGGGTGCGACACATTTGCAATGCCTGGCTCTAGACAAGACACACATTGACACGGCTCCAGAACTTGGCGTACTTTGTGCGAACACACGAAAAGGCTCTTGCCAACGCTCTTCAGCTGCAGCGCCAAAACCCCAGAAATGGCCAAGCCATTGCTTCTCCCTCGTCGCCCAGTGGCCCCGCCAGCCCTCCCTCGTCCGCGTCGTCGTCGTCGAGCGTCTGGGCAGCAGCACTGTCGCTGCCCTCCCTAACCTTTACTTCGCAGTCGATCAAGCCAGCAAAGCTCACACTAACACCCCATCATCTCTTCTACATCCTCTCCCGCTTCGAGGATCTGGGCATCCCTGTCGGCCCTATGAACGTGCGTTTAGAAAACATTCACACCGATGCCTCACCCACCAACTATGTCTCCTTTCTTGGTAGCGCCCAGCGCAACAAGACAAAGTCTTCCGATCGCGACTCCATACATTCAGTGTCCAGCGTTCGCAGCGTGATGTCAGGCATGTCCTCACTTTGGTCGACTTTCCGTATCGGATCCACCAGTGAAGCAAAAGCAGAGAAACAAAAGGCCCAGCTCCAGGAAGACTTGAGATATCTGTATTCTGCCTTTACCAAGATCCCATGCTTGAGGCTCTCTCCTGATCACAAAGCCCGTCTGATTGCAGGATATGAAGAGTTTCCATTCGACACTGCGGTTCCCCTATTCGCTTTTAAGAATGTCACAGCGCTTGAGATTCACGACGTAGACTTTCGACAGTTCTATGGCTGGGACCGCCTGGCCGAGAACCTCCGCAGTCTGACTGTTAAACGAGCAGGTGTTGAGGATCCTGCTGACCTGCTCATCAATATCGTTTTGGATGATATTGACAAGCGTCGCAGACGTTCTGCCAAAACAAGTGCGCCTTGGTCTACTGCGAGCCCACCCCCCAAGCATGCTCAGCTCGCTCGGTCAGAGTCGCCGCCAACGTCGCCCACAGCTGCCGGCAAGCAGAGCACGAGCCCGAGGGGGGCGGCAGTAACCCGCGAAAACTCCACCAAGTCTGGCCAGCGCCAGCGAAGCACATCTCCATCGCGCCCACCTAGCTCCCGTCATGGTTCTTCGCATGTCTACGGCAGGAGTACAGCGAGCGCCCCAAATATTCGCCGATCGTCTGGAAGCTCCAGCTCGAGCGTGCGTTCCACCACTCCACGGGGAAGTTCCTCAAACTTACTTTCTATGGGCTGGTTCCCTGCCACAAAGTGGCGGTTCTTGAGACATCTGAGCTTGGCTGACAATGCTTTGACTACCATTCCGGCTGCCAGTCTCGTTCCCTTGACAAACACACTACAGTCACTGGATCTCTCGGCTAATCTCTTCACTGAAATACCGGAAAGTCTTGCTAACCTTACTTGTCTCCGTGCATTGAATCTCTCCAATTGTATGATAGATGGGTTGCACTCATTGGGACGCAACCCTCTCCCGGCCATTACAACTCTCAATCTCCGATCCAACCGCCTTACATCATTGGTTGGTATCGAACGCCTTCTATCTCTAGAGCGTGTGGACTTTAGAGACAATCGATTGACTGATCCTACCGAAGTGGCGCGCCTCACTGGTGTACCCGACATTACAGATGTTTACGTTAGCCGCAATCCTTTCTGCAAGACGCACGTCAACTACAGGGTTACCATATTTAATTTATTCCGCAAGACCCCGGGCTACACCGAAGACATTGTTATTGACACGACAGGGCCGAGTACGGCTGAGAAGAAGCAACTCGTTGACCGGGCGCCCGAATTGAAGGGAGTCCCCGTTGTGAAGCCCCCACCTGAGGATGACTTGCAACCTATGCCATATGTACCTCCCAAGGTAGTGAAAGCTGTGGACACACCATCTGAATCGCCTGGATTGCTCAAACGCGCCGGGTCACTACAGCGCACCAAGAGTGGAACAAGGAGTGGGCAAGAATCCCAAAAGAAGAAGAAGGGTCCCAAGAGACGGATTGTCGAGCTTTCGCAGAATGAATCGATGCAGCAGTCTTCGCAATCGAGTCTAACAAGTCTTGCCTATGAGGATACTGCCATTGGACAGGCTCCTAAACTCACCAAGCCGGTCAGCCTGGCTGCAGAAGCACCCCGACTGGAGGAACAGTCCAAGGGCAAGAGTGTTGGAGATGCAGGCAAGAAGACTATGCCAGACGGGCGGGCGGTTGCTGATGAAACGCACACAAGTCATCAGCAACTACCCCCGATTGACACGACGACGGCGTCGAAGAAGCGAGCAGAGCCCCAATCTGCGGACGACTTTGAGGTTGGTGAAGAGGAGATGTACAAGAAGAAGATTGAGGCTCTTCGGCAAGATTTTGGCAACACGTGGCTGAGTGCACTAGGGGACGAAGGGTGGGACTCTACATCCGTGACGAGTTTCCCATCTGACCGAGGCTATAACTCTCCGACGATGCAACCCACACTGCCTCGTACCCCAAGCCAGAGTATTGTGTCTGGGCGTACGCTTGGCTAAACAGCTAGACGATTAGCAGGAGACACGGGCAAGCGAGGGGCGAAGCGCCTTGCAGCAATTCCCAAATGCCAACGCCTGTGTGATTTCGACACTTTTGCGATACCCAAAAGATTTTTCCAAATTCGGTTCGTGGGAATGGCTTCCTGCTCGGAGTGAACAGGAGGCTATACCTTTTTCTTTTCTTTTCTTTTTCCTCTCTCTCTCTCTCTTCTTCTTCATCTAATAAGTTTGTGCAAGGCGTTGGATGGGTGACGGGCGACGATGAGATTGCATGGCGCCATGTGCTACGCTCGTTGTACCGGCCAAAGTCTTGGCCTGACGAGAGATTCTGGTTGGCAGCATGTTGCGGATGTGCTGTTTGTGGGTCGGATTCTGTAAAAATATTGGTGCGTCCGGGATGTGCTCGTGGATTGCGCAGTTGGATTTGCCATGAATACGTGGGCTGTCATTGTTTCTTTGTTTTTATTTCAATTCTGCTTTCTTTTCTACTTGACGCTTGCTTGCTTTTTCTACATAATTGGGTTTCTACTAGGAAGCGACGTCAGGCATGGGCGCAGGCAGCAGTGCGAGTTGGGGCGTTGTTTGATCTATTGCATAATGAGCGCACATGTTCGGGTAGATGTCTGCATGAATAGAAGACGAATTCTGGCCTATACGAGAATGGACGGATATACATGGGACGAATGGATGGATGATATCACGTGATTTGCAAGTGAGGACTACGTAACTATGTACTTGGTCTGTAATGCGTGTATGTAAATATACAAGTATGTTGCACTCTGCACAGTCGTGGAGCGAAGACAGGCTCCATGGGCTGGCTAACTAGGGCTACCGGTAGCTTCCGAGCTACGTACATGAACAGTGTGTGAACAGGCGGTCCGGGACGAAGTGCATGTAGGTACAGCGCATGTCATGAGCAGGTCAGTATTTTAGCAAAAAAAAAGAGGTTCGCCGGCTGAAGCGGGATGTGGATGGGAGGGGGGGGTTTGAGGCAGGCTGCTAGGCCAGAAAGCGCAGCACGGTCAAGGCACTGGCGCAGTCTAGAGTGAGACTGTGCTGACTGTTTAATAACATGGCATTAACGGGCTGTCGTATTCCGAACGGCGTGCAGTGGCAGTGGTACCCAACGGGCCAAAAGGGTCGAGGACAAGTCGAGGACAAGTCGAGGACAAGTCGAGGACAAATCGAGGAGATTGTGGTGGCGCTGTGGCAGGTGTCGAGGAGGGCAGGCTAGACATGTGTGTGGTGTCTTAGCGGCAGTTGCAGCCGGTCAGGTGCGATGTCGACGACGGTGGCCACGGCCGGTACCTGGCGGGGGACGGGCAGCTGAGGCCTGTGTCCATGTCAGCGTCTGACGGTGCAGAGGTTGGCACTGGTGTTGGCGTGGGCAGGTATGGGTATGGGTGTGGGTGTGTGTGTGTGTGTGTGTGTGTGCGTGGTGGGCGAGGGAGAGGCCCTTTGTTATCATGGCTCGCTGTGCTGCTCTCCCACAGCCCCGACGCGCGTCTCTGTTGGGCTAGCACACCTTTTGCGCCAAGCCAGGCCTAGGTCTGAAACCGTGCCTGCTCTGCAAAACTACTCGGGCGTTGTGATCCTCTCTACCACCGCAACCCAACCCGGCCTACCTACCATCAACCCACTGCCTGCTCCTGTCTTGCCACCAAGCCCCGACGCTGCAGACAACCCGTACTCGCTCATCGCCCACACTGCCTACTTTTGTCGTCCATCGCCCGCCTGTCTGCCAACCCCCCCGCTCCTCCAGGCGGTGAAGTCACTCCCAGCATCCCACTCGACAGGCTCCCGCCCATAACAACGCCTCAGCGCCTCAGCGCCTCAGCGCCCCCGCTCCCCTCGCCCTCAACTGCCCACCGCGCAGCCCACACAGGTATCCCCATATCAACACGCACAATTGACCAGCGCAATTTGCAGCCGCCCCACCCGTCGCGTGATCCCAGCTCTGCCAACAGGCACTTCTTGAGGGGCTTTGAGCCATTCTCCACACGGCGACAGCCTGCACCCGTCTGCCACTCTAACCGCCCCATTCGTTGACATCAGAGGTACGTGACGCTCTCTCTCCTCCCCTTCTTCCCCTTTGCTGCAGCCGCACGCGATGCATCGCTCGGCACCTAGCCAGCGTCATCGCCCTTGTCGTGGTACTCGCTGTCCACGACACGCTCCTGCCGCCGTCCGTAGGCCTCGCACCCGCACCCACCGACCTGCCAAACACAAACGGCTAGAGCGCCGCTAACACGGCCAGTGCAGCAAGGGAAGAGAGAGAAAAAAAAAGGCCTTCCGTACAAAGCCTTCGCCAGTGCCACGCGCAAATCTTCCTCACCCACCCACGCGAGGTTCTTCCTTGCACCTTCAGCCACCGAGCCCAGCGCCAGTAGCAAGTCACAGCTATGGCCGAAACCGAGGTGGACTTGGACTCTATCATAGACCGCCTGCTCGAGGTCCGCGGCAGCAGACCCGGCAAGCAGGTCCAGCTCCTCGAAACCGAGATCCGCTACCTGTGCACCAAGGCTCGCGAAATCTTCATCTCACAGCCCATCCTGCTCGAGCTCGAGGCACCGATAAAGGTCAGTCACAACGCGTAGTGCTGCGAAGCCCAGTGTCTGGCTTCAGAGCACCTACTGACTTTTGCATGCACCAGATTTGCGGAGATATCCACGGCCAGTACTACGATCTGCTACGGCTGTTTGAGTATGGCGGCTTCCCCCCAGAGGCAAACTACCTCTTCCTCGGCGACTACGTCGACCGTGGCAAGCAGTCGCTCGAGACGATATGCCTTCTCCTCGCGTACAAGATCAAGTACCCCGAGAACTTTTTCGTTCTGCGTGGCAACCACGAGTGCGCCTCCATCAACCGCATCTACGGATTCTACGACGAGTGCAAACGGAGATACAACATCAAGCTATGGAAGACTTTTACCGACTGCTTCAACTGTCTGCCCATTGCCGCCATTATTGACGAGAAGATCTTCACCATGCACGGTGGCCTGAGCCCAGATCTAAACTCAATGGAGCAGATTAGGCGTGTCATGCGACCTACCGATGTGAGTTTGATCCATGCAAATGTTGACCCAATTGTTGGAACGCACACACTGACGAACATCTGTAGATTCCCGATTGCGGTCTTTTGTGCGATCTGCTGTGGTCCGACCCAGACAAGGACATTACGGGATGGAGTGAGAACGACCGTGGTGTAAGCTTTACGTTTGGGCCCGACGTTGTGTCTCGTTTCCTGCAAAAGCACGACATGGACCTGATTTGCCGTGCGCATCAAGTCGTAGAAGATGGCTACGAGTTCTTCTCCAAGCGTCAGCTTGTGACACTGTTCAGTGCACCCAACTACTGCGGCGAATTCGACAATGCAGGCGCAATGATGAGCGTCGATGAGAGTCTGTTGTGCTCGTTCCAGGTAAGCCTAGATGAAGGGGGTGTGTGTATGTGTCTATCTATGCAAAGTGCTGACAAATAACTGTAGATTCTCAAGCCTGCAGAGAAGAAACAAAAGTATGTCCCCAATCTCGGTAGACCTGCGTCTGGCGGCAAAAAGCGCTAGAGGCAGTGGCTGCTCTACTCATTGTGAATCAATACCAACTTCTTGTGCAGCAGGTTTGGGCGCCGTTAGATGATGGCAGTGGTCAGCCCCCCTCCGAGTCCGATATGCCTCACGACGCGAAACATATACTCGATCTCGATTTCGTTACCCACTCTTTGGCTTTCCGACGGCCTTTGACGATTTGTACACAGTCCTGTCCTTCATTCTTTGTGATTCGAGTACCGTTGCGCGCGATGCAAAAGGGAAACTGCGGTCGACGCTCCGTGGCGGACGATGCGACCTTTGACGACTCTGCCTTTTTCGACTTGCCGGCGACAAGAAGAGGCGGAGGTTGTAGCAGGGCAGAGAAAAAAGGCACGCGATGGTAGGCTAGCAGAGATGCGGACAAGAAACATGATATCAGGAGAAAAAAGCACAAGGGGCATGACTAACGGCCTGGATACGTTTTACGGTTGTTGCATGTTCTACAAAAGGGTCTCTGTGGCGAGGATAGTCTGGATTGTCTAAGGCGGGCTGGATGGTGGGCAGCTATCAGTGGCCTTTGAATTGGGCTTGTTCAGGCTATTGAAGCATTTGTGGACTCGTGTGGACTGCTTTGTCCTTTGGGCAAGTGAGAGGCTTTTTTACACGGGACGATGTCTGTCATTTTTCTTTCCTTGTCCTCTTTCTTTTTCTTCGTTTGCCGCGTTGAACCAGCAACCTTTTTTGGGGATGAGGATGTAAGCTAGTAGTTTCGAAATGGAGTATGCGTATCCCCTTTGCGAGCGTGGTTTGCGAGTGCAGGGGCCATGAAGTGAGAGAGAGGTATTTTGGTAGCATGTGTACTAAGCAAGTGGGCACGAGGGGCGGACGGCGGCGCTCGGCTCGTATAGGGAACACGGACGAAGGCGAGACAGAGAACAGACGAGAGCACGGCGAAGAAGGAAAAAAATAAACAGGCGAGGAAACCATGACAAGACTCGGCCGATGAGCAAGGGATGAGACGTCTGCGATTGATTCTCGCCAGGGTTGAGGGGGTTGTTATTTTCTTATTCTTGTTTGAGGCAGACACACACACACACACACACAGAGAGAGAGAGAGAGAGAGAGAGGGGGGCAGAGAGGGAAGTGCGTGCGTCTTGTTTCTTTTTGGGCTGCGTGAACCATGGCCGTGGGAGGAGGCACGGCAATGGCAAAGGCAATGGCAATGGCAATGGCGAGGATGGCGTCGCTGGGCTTGGCTGGGCGGCACGATGATGTCAAGGGGAGCGTGCATTTGATAGGGCTTGTGCTTGTGCTTGTGCGTGCACAGTGGGAAATGCAAGGCCAGGCCTGAACAAGAGGGCGTGTGGCAGTGCTCGCGGCCTCGTCGGGCGTCGTGGGCGTCGTCAGAGCCTGGCAGCGTGCGGTCTAAGCGTAAGCGCCGCCTCCGCCGACCGTGGCTCCGGTTGCAGCCACCACCACCTGCCCGTTCCAATGTAGTCATCCTCCAGCCGCCTATTGATTCCCCAAACCTGGCCTTCACCCGCCTCGCCGTTCCTTGCTGTGCCCGTGTGCTGTCACTCACTCACTCTCTCTCTCCCTCTCCCCCTCTCTCTCATCTCATCTCGTCTTCTTCCTCTTCCCCACCATCGCACTCCCTCCATCCCTGTGCCGTTGCAGGATCCGCTTGGCTTTCAATGTGTGCGCTGTAGTTCCACCACCCCCCTTCGCGCCTGTCGTCACTCCTTTGCCCGCCCTCCTCCGTCGCTGCGTCGCGCGCCTTCCGCCCACCACCCAGCTCCCACTACGACCAGCACCACCACCGCCACCCCTGCTACTGCCATGTTTTGAACATCTGAATAGACGACCGACGTCACTCTGTACGCAGCCGCCATGGCCGAGTACGCGTATGTTTCCCTGCCCTGTCCTCCCCTGCCCGGCCCTGCACTGCCCTGCCACTACCGCCGCTACCCAAGTACTCTACTGACATGCCGTCTCAACACAGCTTCATCGCGCATTCGGCTCCCTGGGTCCACAACTCAGGCGCCATGACGCCCTCGCGCCTCCGCTCCCTATCTCCCATGCCCAAGAACCATGTCACCCGCTCCATGTCCACACCTCAACTCGCCAAAACTGCCCAGTCGCAGTCGCAGTCGGAAGCCGAGAGCGAAGGCATCAACACGATTCCCGACCCGCGCTCAGCGACTCCTCAACCCTCCCTTTTGCGCCATGACTCGAACGACTCCCATCCCGACTTTAGTCAGGAGGTGTCAACCCTTAGCACCAAGCTCATCAACGCTATCAACCACTCCACCATGCTAGACGACTCGTTGCAGCAAACTAGGCACGAGCTAGAAGCTGCAAGGGAAAAGCTTATGCGCCTAGAAGCCCAGGTCAAGGAGCATGAAGGCAAGATTGCAAAAGGTCTCTTGGTCGAAAAGGTGGTTTATGACAAGATGGAGAAACAAATGGCCAATGAGCTGAAAGAGGAGCGCAAGCGGAGGGCCCAGGCCGAGGCTGCCAAGCGCAAGACGGACAGCGAGGTCGAGGCTCTGACAGCTGCTTTGTTTGAGGAGGCCAATGTGGTGAGTCGCATTGCATGCGCTAGTGACGCGTCACGACTGACGAGAACAGATGGTTGCAGCCGCACGTAAAGAAACCGAGGCTTCCGAGAAGCGCGGCGAACAGCTGCGACAGCAACTGGGTGATGCAGAGGTGCTCCAGCATTCTCTCCAGGACCAACTGCAAGATCTCAAAGGCGTTGTGGAGAAGATGAGCTCACATGGCGACGACAACGAAAGCCATGTTCTGACAACCACCACTACTCCTTCGACACCCGGCCTTTCACCCGCGGACAAGATGAGCAAACTATTCGAAGCCATGAACCTAACACCCAGCACGCCCGGATCGGACGAAATCAGCCCCGACCATCCACTGCACTTTTCGCATCTGATCCATCCCGTACTCCGTTCCGACCTGACAGCATTCAAGGAATTCCAAGACATGCTCAAGATTAGCACTCGCTCATCAGCCCCAGCAAGTCGCGCCTCGAGCGGCAACTATGGCAGCCTTACTGTCCTCGGACTTGGTTCCCTGACCAACAGCTCCACCACTTCCCTGCCATCCAAATCATCCATATCAATCAACAATTCTCCCCGAGAAAACATTTCTACTGCAGGAATGCCAAATCTCAAAGACGACAAATTTTACAAACGCGCTCTGGTGGAGGATATCGAACCAACATTGCGTTTGGATCTCGCACCTGGGTTATCCTGGATGGCACGCCGAACAGTTCTCAGTAGTATCAGTGCCGGTTCTCTGGTGGTTGAGCCCAACCCCACGCCTACATCAAGATTCCGGGTCCCGATCTTCCCCTGTTCCCTCTGTGGAGAGTCAAGGGCGGGCGAGCAGTATGCTCGCAAGTTCCGATTCAAGCCATCCGACACGGAGGATGCTCAGCGCTACCCCCTATGCGACTATTGCTTAGGCCGAGTCCGTGCCACATGCGACTATATTGGCTTCTTGCGCATGGTTGCTGCTGGCCACTGGCGGGCTGAAACAGAGGAAGAGAGGAAATCGGCTTGGGAAGAGAGCGTCCGTCTACGCGAGCGCATGTTCTGGACGAGAATTGGAGGTGGTGTTGTTCCATCTTTTGTTCCTCTGCGCGACAGTCCCAGGAGTCCAACATTTACCAACAGCGACACCTCGCTTGAGCAGAGAATGAGCGAAGAGAGCGAAATATCTTTTGAACCCAGAGATATCACGGTCAATGGCCCAGCGACTGCAAGCGAGCCAAGCAAGAGAGACGAAGATCCGTTTCAGAGTAAGGGAGATGAAACACTGAAGCGAATTTCTATTGGCAAGACTGTCATTTCGGCGGATGCCAGCGGAAATGCAGACCTTGATTCCAAGTCGACCCCAACTCAGCATGTGGAGGATAATGCTGAGCCAACACCGGCCTCGAGCCAAAACGAAGAAGAAAAGATTGAGCAACAAGCCGAAGCTCAACTTCAGAAGGAGTTTCGCAAATCGCTCGATACGAAATGGCTCACCGAGCAGCCGCCGCTACGACGTCAGCGATCGTCGTCCATTCCTCCACCCCCGATTCAGGTACGGAAAAAGGAGGACCGACTCAGTTTGAGGATCCCCGGCTCCATGCCAGGAGCTTTTGAGTAGAATGGTTTGGCACCAACTATACTAATAATTCACATTTCCTATCATCAACAACCATCGCATCATCATTAATCCGTTTGGATTGGCAGCAGATGGCGGTAGATATGCTGATTCAAACGAGAGAATAGTAGCTTTTTTTTTTTTTTTTCTCTCTCTTTACACCACTTTGGGAGCTTGGTTTCTGTGGCGTGTCATTTAAGAAAAAACCGGAAGGGAGGCAGGGAAGGCAATGCAAAGGGAAAGAAAGGGAAAAATGCTCCGGTTTGACACGGTCACAGTCTTGGCACCCAAGGCTTTGAATGGGATGGAATGGAATGGGATTGATGGATATGGAAAGGGAACAAAGGGAAATGGGAGGAAACTTGGGCGTTATATACCAGGAGTTTTTGTGTCGTTGTTGTCAACCAACGTTTTTGTTACAAATATCCTATTTACAACTAGGCATTGCGAGGGGAAGCGAAGCGAGGCAGGCTAACGGAGGGGGGGGGGGGGGAAGGAGATGGAGAACAGGCAAAGGAGACACAAAGTCGTGGACTTTTTTTTGTTGTTGTCTTGTTAACACCGATGAGTTGCAATCTCTCGTGTTTCCCCCGTGCTATTTCCATCTTAATTGTACTATATCTATACTGCAAAGGCAGAGGAAGAGAAGAGAAATTACAAAGATAACAGACTTGTCATATTATTATTCATTTGCGCTTGTGCTTCTTTTTTTTTAAAAAATATTTGGAAGAAGATGGTTTACAAGAGACATAAACTGTCATGTTTTGAATTCATACATGTTACCCGCTTTTAAGAAATGCATTTTATGATGAAGTGGAAGAAGAAGAAGAAGAAGAAAGAGAGGGAAAAGAGAATCACAGACGGGTTTACTTCCCTCGTCCTTTACCGTTCTTCTTTCCTCCCCTCCCCTTTGCCTTTTTCTGCTTGTGCTTCTCACTCAACGAGCCATCGAGCAACGCAGTAAACGTCTCGCTGCGTGTCTTGGGCGCTTGATCTGGCACTTCGACATCGTCTTCACCTTCTTCTTCTTCTTCTTCTTCTGCCTGTCCTTCCTCTTCTTGGTTCTCTTCCGCGTCCTGATTTGCCAGACGCGTATTACGTTTTCTTGTGGTGCGAGTCTGCGCCTCCTCAGCCTTTCTATCTTTTTTGGACGGCCGACCGCGTTTCCTAGGCCGGGCTGTATCTGCTTCGGCTCCGTCTTGCACACGCGCCTTTTTGACTGCTGGTTCCTCTTCTAGTCCTTCGAGCACTTGCTCATCTGAGCCATCCTGTTCTTCTTGTTCTTCCACCCCCCGCTTCTTAGGTGTTACATTCTGTCCCTTTTGCACCTCCTTTCCCTCGTTGTCAAACTTCTTGTTGATTTGCTGTGCCTTGAGATGCGCCCGCGCTCGTTCCTTGGCCATGCGCTCCTGCCTCTCTAGATCGTACTTGTCGTTGCCTGATAGCCCGTGTTTGATGAAGCGTCCCGCGGCTGCAACATCGAGGCGCGCTCGTCCTTCTGCACTCCCTTTTATGCCGCGATCCTCGATCTCTTTGATTTTGCTGTTGTACTGGCGTAGACGCGCGATTTCTTTGAAGATGGCATGTTCGGTTGCGTTGACGCCGGATGCAGTGAGCGAGGCGAAGAGAAGCGACTCAATGGCATATGCAGCGAGGCAGTAGAGTTTGGCTTTGTCGAGGAGAGGGAGCGATGATGCGGTTGTAGAGAGCGGTTTCGAGAGTAGTGGCTCGAGAGCGGTGGTGAGCTCGTCAATGTCGACTTCGAGGTCTTCTACCAGGTCCGGGAGATCGATTTGCGGGTCCATTATTGGGAATTTCGAGTCGCAACTGTGGTGATGGAGTTATGATGGGTTGCGACTATGCGCGACGGAGCTATTGGGGTTATAGTGTTGTGCTTGGTATGGTACGGTCGCGAAGTTGAGTTTAGAGAAAAGTAAAGGGCCGTGCGTAAACCCGCGCTAGCTCCGACTCTCATCTGAATCTCTATTTGGTGACCCTCCGATCTCTCATAGCGTCATTCACCCATCTTCACGAGACCCCCGTAATACTCCGCCTTCGCTGCTAGTCGCGCCAAGTTACCACGCATGGGAACATAAAATCGATCAAGCTGTCTTCCTTCTTCGTTTCGCAATTCATCACCAGGCTGCGGCCTCGGATACCCTATATACGCGCAAGATGCAACATCGGTAGCAATTGCGCAAGCCGGGCGGCTTACACTCACTCAAGAAATCTCATGACAAGCTGGAAAAGGGAGGATCGTGCGGCTATGGAGGATAAGTCGCTGGATATGTGCGTGGTACTCTTAACCTTATACCTTTGCAAAACTTACTCTTTTTAGCAAAGACGAACCCGCCGCTTCGCCAACTTCTCGTAATACCGCCGATTTCTATCGCGCCAAGCCTGTAGTGGACCGGAGAATTCACATCATGGGCATTGGAAATGTGGGAAGCTTCATTGCACATACGCTTCGGGGGATTCCCAACCCTCCTCCAGTGACGCTATTATTTCCGCGATGGGAGAGGCTGAAGGAGTGGAATGATTCGCCGAAAAAACTGACTTTGATTACCGACGGGGATGTCGAGGTACAAGAAGGATATGACGCTGAATTGGCCATACCGCGCATACGGTATCACGGGAAAGAGGTGGGCTTGGACGCTTCGTCAACGGAGACTGCAGGAGACGTCACTATCTTGGAAGGAGAATCAACAGAACCCATAAGTTCTCTGATAATCTGTTCCAAGGCACCGTATGTCTTACAAGGACTGTCATCTGTGAAACATCGACTACACAAGGACTCTGTCGTTTTATTCTTGCAGAATGGAATGGGGATCGTTGAAGAAGTCAATCGAGAAATCTTTCCTGATCCAGCGACGAGACCACACTATATGTTGGGGATCAATTCGCACGGAATGCACACCTCGCCAGATGGTCAATTCACAACTGTTCATGCTGGATTCGGGACCATCTCCTTGGGTATATTGCCGCATGAACGAGACCGCCAGCCAGACTCGCCGTACATGCCCAAGCCGAAGTTTACGGCTCCAAAAGATAGCCCACCAGTATATCCCGGCCCTCCTGATGAACTAAACTCCGAATACCCTCCCCCAAGCAGCGCAAAGTTTTCTTTTACACCAAACCAACGCCATCTACTGCGCACTCTTCTCCGCACACCAGTGCTCAGCGCAACATCCTTTTCACCACCCGATCTGTTGCAAATGCAGCTCGACAAGCTTGCAGTCAACTGCATCATCAACCCTTTGACTGTACTTCTTGATGCACGAAACGGCGCTATCCTGAACAATTACGCCTTGACACGCACAATGCGTCTTCTCCTCTCAGAAATCAGCCTCGTCATCCGTTCCCTGCCTGAACTCCAATACATCCCTAATGTCCAACAGCGATTTGATCCCGGCCGTCTCGAAACTGTAGTCGTCGCGGTAGCAAATCTTACCAGAGACAATGTGAGCAGTATGCTGGCGGACACGAGAAAGGGTATGCAGACGGAGATTGACTACATCAACGGGTGGGTAGTGAAGAGGGGCGAGGAATTGGGCATCAGGTGTGCCATGAATTATATGATTATGCAGTTGGTCAAGGGTAAGAGATTAGTGGTGCAGCATGAGATTGACGAGGGTGTGCCGCTAGTTAAGCCCAAGCAAGCGAGAGCTGACACCGAGTTGGATGTTAGAGAGGGTGTGGCCAAGGCTATTGAGAAGGGGAAGTTGTAATGGATAGTTTTGTATTCAATGTTCTTCAGCTACTACTTAGTTCATGTTCTTTAACATATTCGTGGTTCAGATGGGGTCGCTGATCAGGAAATCAATGTGCTAGCCATCCAATGCAAACTTTCGCAAATAGTCCTCCGACCTGCCTTCCATCCACTTCCTCACGGGCAGCAAGACTTCTCAACTAACGGTGGAGTATCCACACGATTCTCACCTTGGAGGTAACCCCCCATGAATAGGCAGTACCAGGCAAGCATAAGCCCTGAGCACTGCTCGTCTCCATACCCCGCGGGAGGTTTTCACATAGACGTCAAGTTTATCAACCGATCAGTTCATCAATCAATATACTCCCCAACTGGAAACACGGGATAGTATCTGTGTGCTTTTCAGCTCAGAACGGAAGCTTGCGTGCAACCTCCATCTTGGCCGCGAATTCCAGCCATTTCGCATCCGTCCTGTCCAGCTGGTAACAGATCATGGCCCCGATTGCCTCGTTCCAAGCTTCTGCGTATTGCCTAATGGAGATGTTGTTCGCCTTCATATGAGAATTCAGGGTCAGCTGGGTTAGACGTTCAAACGTCATAGTTGCGTTTGGGTATTTGGCTTTGTACTCTGGAAGCTTGTTTGGGTCGTAGGTGAAAGGCATCGGTTTGGGAATCTTCTGGGACTCGCAGTCGGCCTCCAGATGATTGCTAAATTGCCAAATCCAGCATGAAAATGATCGTCTTGAATAGCGCTTTCGAGCAAACGCCTGCGGTGGAGAGTGACCAGGCACCACAAAAAGACTTCTGGTTTCAAGTCGTTCATCGGAAAGCCCATTCTCTCCGCAAGTTCATGGATGTTGAACCTAATGTTATTAGTAGGTTTCAAAAAACATGGGGGGAGTAGGGAAACTTACTTGTGGTATAAGCCGACATGCCAGGCCGGTCGGTTGACCATGTTGATATCAATCAAGAAGCACATAACATCATAGGGTTTGGCAGCACCGACTGTTGTGAGGTTTTGCTTGGGAAGACGCCCAAGAACCAGTGGTGGCAATGTCGCTCGTAGCCCTGTGGACCATCTGGCATGAATAGGCGGCCGGTTTTGAATGTCATAGATCCGGTTGAAATGGCTTTTATTTTTGCTGACAAAAGGATAGATGACAACCAAGCTAGCCCCATAGGCACGTGCAACAATAGAGACGCTGGGCTCATTTTTGAAGATAAGACTCCCGCGGTCAGGAGGGTAGTAGAATTCTTAGTTTCGAGTGTCTGCCAATTCTTTTGTATCCAAGTTCTTCAGAGTCGCTTGAACGTCAGCATTTGTTACTAACTGACCCCTGTTACTCTTGCTGACTTGTTTCTGAGAGGCCAGTGCTGCAGCAAGTGCCTTTGTCCAAGTCTCAAAATGTATCCACTTCATCTGAGCAGAAGCTTTGTACTTGATAGGTGCATCGACAATACCGGGGCAGTTCGGGCGATTAAGCTCAGGCTCGTTGTGTATGATGGGATTCGGATTTTTCTCAAGACCTTTAGCAGAAAGTGGGTGATCATAACTTGTCCGAGTACTGGAAAGCTCTTGGTACTGAATGAGGTAGGCTTTAGCGGATTGGAGATTCGTTTCTTTGCGCTCGACACGATAGTTGGGAGGTGGCGGCCCATGTTTGCGGAAATTGGCGAGATGCGCATTCATCATGACCTCACCATCGACCATGGCTTTTGCCTGAGGATCGTCACTGGAAATATAGGCGGCCATGGTAAAGATACCAGTGGTTTAGATATTGGGAGGCGAAGGTATCTATTAGAGAAATTGGTAAGCAAAATGTCAGAAAATCGATGTTATAGATAGGCTACTTACTTGGCAACAAGTAATCGTATCTGGATGCTACAATATGTACTTCCCGGAGTCTAAAGGCCCGTTGATGGACAATAATGAACGACTTAGGGTAATAAAGAGTACAGCGCATATAATGGAGTATCTAGCTTTGGACTCAGACGTGCAAGACCTTTTTGGTGGTGAGGTTGAAAGACGTCGTGTGAGAAGAGAGAAGGAGTGACGCCTCTGACAGCAAACAATGAGATTCTTTCACTCTCACTCCTCTCTGTTTGATGATGAGTCATTTCATCATGGGCCGTGTCCGTATAGCATCGTTTGGATTAAGCAGTGAGTCAGCATCACGATTCGCATGTTTAGTTTCCGACTTCATTTTGAAAAATGAGGTCCTTGTATAGGAATTATTTAATTGGACTGTTTTGTGCTCTTTGGTCCTTTTGCTCCATCACAACACATCAAAAGCTCAACCTTCAAGTGTGCAATAGCTAAACGACAGCAGGTGAAGCGGTACGCAAGGAGGTACAGTTCGCTGGTACAGTGATTTTATTACATCCACATACTGCCCTCCCCTATGGGACACATGCAGTAGTATCTGGGCCCCTATGGCGATTCACGGGCCCGAATACATTTATGTTGAAAGCAAACGGAAAGAGAAGAAATGGAGGAGCAGCCTACACACGCCAGGGTCAGGCAGCCCAAAGATACTACTCAAGCTCTGCCTCCCTCAATCCCCTCTTAAACCTATCAATTGCCCTAGCCTTTGTCTCCTTCCAATCCACATGCGGCTTGGGATATCCCAATTTCTCAAACTCTTCCTTTGACAGCCTTGCATACGGCGCGAAGACAGCCTTGCCTTTTACATCCTTGAGCTCAGGAACCCATTTCCTGATATAATCGCCATCTGGATCGTTCTTTTCGGCCTGCGACACGGGGTTGAACACGGTGTAGCTTGGTTCCCAGCCCTGCGTGTTGTTGGAGAGATCCCAGTCGATGAGGGTTTCGGCAAAGTAGCGCTCGCCACGGCGGTAGTCGAGAAGCAAATTGCAGTATAGATATGACGACACGTTCATACGCAGGCGATTGTGCATGTATGCTTCAGCATTTAGCTGGCGCATGCCTGCGTCGATAAAAGGCTCGCCAGTTTGTCCCTTGTACCATTTTTCCCAGCCTTCCTTGTCGTCTTCCCATTGTACAGAGTTGAATTTGAGGTTCTGCGGTAGATTCATGGATGTGTGCGGCACGCAGACTGTGTGCTGTCGATATAGCTCGCGGAAAACGATTTCTCGCACCCAGCTGTAGACGCCGCCTGAGGCTTTGGATTCGGTGAAGTCAGTGCTGCCGCGGTTGTAGTCGACAACTTTGCGGAGAGCTTCGCGCACGGAAAACATGCCTGCGCTGAAGTAGGCCGACATGCGCGATGTACTGTTTGCGGCCGGGTTAGAGCGGGTAGATGCGTAATGGGAAATTTGTTTGAGAAACGAATCCATGCGTTTTGCGCCTTCAGTGTGGCCAGCCGGCCAAAGTTTTCGTATCCTCTTCTTCTCATCTTCCGACTTGAATTGCTTATCCTTGGCGGGCTTGGGTGCTGGTGTATCGAACAGATCCTTGAGCTCTTTCTTCATAGACGAAGGGTTTGCGGTAGGTGGAGGGCGTGTATCAAGGAGCTCGGGTTCTTCTCGTAGTCTGCTGAGCCAGGCTTTATGATATGGTGTGAAGACCTTCATTGGCGAACCGGACGATGTGGTCATCGTACCTGGTTCAATAACAGTCTGATCGTGGAAAAGAGATACCTGGATGTCTTTTCCAGAAGTCTTGACTAACTTCAGATCTCGGCGCAACTCGTCAATCTCATACTCGTAGTTACCAAAGACATGGGAAACTTTGTGATTCTTTAGCCACTCAACGGCTGCCTCAACAATCCTCTTCCTGTCTTCGCACTCTACAAAGACCAATGGTATGTTTAGTTCCTTGAGTTCTCTTTGCATAATCTTCAACCCCTCACACATGAAATCGACTCTTGCTGGGCTGGTCCCATGCCATGATTCATCGGCAGGACAGTTGATGTAAAAGCACACCAGAGGTTTCTTGGCGCTTTTTGCAAGCTCAGAAGCATGATGCAGCGCGGTGTTATCCTGTATTCGGAGGTCCTTGGGGTGGAACCAGTGAGCTACTTTTGTCACGTCTCTAACCTCATCTTGCGCGCTGAGTGCTTCCTGAACTTGATCGTAAGGAAGATTTTCGTCGACTTGCTTTGCGCGTTTTGCAGATGTGTGGCCGAGCTCGTCACGTTGGTAAGATGTTCTCTTTGACATATCTGCTTTGGCAGACTTCTTGAGTGTGGTCCGATTTTGGAAACGCGTCGCGTGACTAATGACGCGATTTGGTAGAAGCGGTAATGTGGTGTTGCAGGCCGCAGTTCGTCTGGCAGCAGAGATTCGGACAGTATGCGATACAAAGGCGCTTCTGATAAAATACATTGGCTGTGTTGCTAATACATGGCTGCGTCTTTGTACCTATGCATGAGCAGATTTACATGAGGGTCTCAAGTGGTGACGTCGACAGGACCAGACTATCCTGACTACGGCCGATTCAAGGCCACACCATGATGGGCAGCCGACATCGAACACCAATGGAGAGCATCACTATCGTTGTTTCAGATGCAAGATCTGGGGATCTCCCTGGCTCCCGCTGCAGCATGCGATCTATATCCACTCCCCTGGATTTGGCTATGTCGTGCCTGGATAGCGTTGTATTGTGTTGCATGGTAGGAGGGGTTTGTGGATGCAAGACACGCGACAGCCACCAGTCCATAAAAACGACGACTGATGTTTATGCCCATATCACCGGTCGACTTCGCGCGATACAGATTTTGGTCCCGGTAGAGCGCTAGGATTCCGATCGATGGAATGGCCCCAGGGAGAGTCTTCAGCCCGGGAAAACTGGCAGGCTGGCCAGCCACGTCGTTTCCCACAACCACAATCGCCGCCGGCAATATATCCGCTTGGGGTGTGGGTCAAGGAAGATATCCTCACCTGGTCTGACGGAGAGGCGGGAAAGTATGACGAATAGAGATGTAGTTTACTGAGCACAACGGGGAGCGGTCCGTTTCCCAACCATGCGCCAAGCTACATGGCGTAGCTGTCAAACCAATCGCATGCCATGTGCTCGCAACGTGATGCCAAGACACCCACGTTGAATGTCTGCCAGATCCCGAACAGGCAGCTCGGCAAAACGTTGATTGATGATATTGGCTCATAACCGGACCATCCCAGCGGACCGGGCGCTGGTCCATGGTGCTGGATGTGTTCTCTCGAGCAGTAAGATTGTTGGATTATCGCACGAGGGCGGCTGGACATGCATTCCTCTCCACAAACTAGCATCCCCGGGAATTCAATGCAATACCTGGTAGCTTGATATGCACGCCATGACTACGTATGGTGTATTCCAGGAATCCGGCACCAGGTACCTACAAAGACTTATAAAAGTGCCAGGTACAGCTCCTAATTCTTTTGCTTCATCGCAATCTTTGAGAGCCTTGTGTGACTGTCCATCTCTCAATCGCGTTCATCATGAAGTGCACATGCTCGGCTATCGTGGCAGCAGCCCTTTTAATGGGCCCTGTTTCTGCGACTGCATTCAGGAGACTTGGTGCTTGCCCAACGCTTGGTAAGCTCGTCCTCCATATCTACGCTTTTGTATCTCAGCTAACTCATCGGCAGGCTGTGTGTTGCCACCTGATCAGTTGCGCCCATACTCTGTTCAATAATACCAAAACTCACTTGCTAACGACAAAGCCAGGGCTGACTTTCTCGCTGGCCAATTCTTCGACATTCGACTTGAGGTGCACCAGCCGACCAATGGCTCCGAGTTTATCGGGCTACCTCTGGATGAACAGTTCACCTTTACTGTTGGAAAGAAGGGCGAAGAAGCAAAACCTGTAACCGAGTTCTTCAACCTCGAAGAGCCGGAGCTGGAGAAATGGAAGTTTACGTATTTCGAAGGTACGTGAGACGTTGGAGACATCGATGCTACAAGGTTTTCATGGAATTGGTGTATGGTTCTTGTTGTTAAGCGCGAAAGAACGTCGATAGTTGGATTTATGTGCTAGCCGGGTGAATGGTTGGTCACGTGACGGACACAGGCATAGCTGACCACCATCCAGACCTGTTCGCCCGCGATGCCAAAAAGCCTTCCCTAGTCAATGTAGCCTCCAAAGCCTACCGTCGCATTGCTTTGTATGAGCCCGGAGAATACACAGCCACCTTGCACTACAACAACGGGAGCAAAACCGAAGCCACATGGACTGTACGTGATCTGGCTGAGGAACGCAAGACCAAAAACATCATTCTCTTCATCGGAGACGGTATGACGACCAATATGATTTCGGCAGCACGCCTAATTGCCCATAAATCTATCAATGGGAAGTATCAAACCACTCTGGCGATGGACAAGTTCCCCAGCGTTTCTCATCAAATGACGCATTCGCTTGATTCTTTTATTACTGATTCTGCCAATTCTGCGGCTGCTTTGAACACTGGACACAAGAGTACTGTCAACGCTTTAAACGTTTATGCTGATTCATCTCCGAATCCCTCAGACGACCCGAAGGTAGAGTCGATTGCTGAAATTTTCCACCGTTTGACCGGTGGACATATCGGTATCGTCTCTACTGCGTTCATTGCCGATGCTACTCCTGCCGCTCTTGTTGCTCATACTCGCCTTCGAAGCCAGTATGGAGCCATTGTTGACACATTCCTCAATGGGCTTCAGAACTACACCTGGACAAAGACTCCGATAGATGTGATCTTCGGAGGTGGAGGCGAACAGTTCTATCCTTCTGAACTCGGTGGAGTTACCTATCAGGATAAGAATTACTACGATGAGTTCGCTACTCAGGGTTATCAGGTTGTGCACAACCGCACTAGTCTCCTGGCGGCCTCGCCCGAAGAGAAGACTCTCGGCATTTTTACAACGTCCAACATGGCCAAGTGGCTTGATCGTACGGTCTATCGTAATAACTTGAATCAGTCTCTTTCGCCAACTGGTGATAAGAAGCCTGCTCTAGACCAGCCTGGCCTCAAGGAAATGACACTCAAGGCCATCGACATTCTGGAAAGCCGCTCTGGCGACAAGGGCTGGTTTCTCATGTCTGAAGCTGCAAGTATTGATAAGATGATGCACGTACTTGATTATGATGTAAGTAAACAGCCATTCTGTTCTATGTGGGGGTTGTGAAGTGCTGACAGGTGGTGGTGACAGAGAGCGCTTGGCGAGCTTCTCGAGCTTGATGACACCATCAAGGCGACCATTGAACATCTAAACTCCACAGATTGTCTCAAGGATACTTTGATCATCGTTACTGCTGATCATGGCCATGGTTTTGATGTTATGGGCTCCGTTGACACGCATTACCTCGCCGCGCAGAACACCGATCGCAAGAAGCGCGACGCGATCGGTGTCTACGAGCAATCTGGTCTCTCTGAATACATTAACACAGGCAATCTAACTTACACAGGATCTAATTTTCCTAGCAATTGGGACCCCCGCTACACGCTGTTCCAGGGCCTCATGGCGGACCCAGACCGTCGTGAAAACTGGAGTGTGCACAAGGACGGCCCTCGTAAACCCGCTGTTGAACTTGAAAAGGACAGCGGTGATTACTACGCCAATCCCAAGGACAGTAAGGGTGGTATTTTGATCAATGGCACGTTGCCTGTGGAAAACGACCAGGGCGTACAGTAAGCCTCCTGCCTCCACCCTCGGAATTCAGCTCTTCTAACAGCGAATGCAGTTCATTGACCGACGTGCCCGTTTATGCGCTTGGCCCTTGCTCTGAAATATTCCAGGGAACTTTCAGCAACATTGATGTCTTTTACAAAATGGCCGAGTGTTTCGGTCTTGGGCGTGGAGAGCCGTCCGAGGAGAGATAGACTTTGAGAACACATTGTGTAACGATGCGATGAAAAAACACAAGCAACTCTGCAGTTGTACAGTCTAGCTAAAGTACATATATATTGAATGTATAATCTGTAAAGACATCCACGGACGTAGTTTCCTACGTGAACATCTCCTATATCTGATGGATCGCAATTGTTTCATTCCTGGTAAAGACTAAATCTAGGCCGCATTTCAGGGGACCGTTTGCACATTATTACATAAAGGATATTCGGAGAAAGAGAAGATGCAAGGGAAAGATACTCCCGACCTTACCCGAAACGCAGGTAAGAGTGTTTTGCAAGTAATACGCGGACAAATCGTAACCCTCGTGACACCTAAAACGTAAGGCAATTTGATTCTACTCATCATCGCGCTCATCTTTGTGATCAATATCGCTACCCTCGCGGTCTTCGTAATAGCTGCCGTCGCCTTTTCAGAAAGTCTCGTCGCGAGGGTATCTGAATTGCTGAGTAAATTCCTGCATGCTTGGAGAAACATCATTGATGGGCAGGTAGACGAGTAAATATCGGTTTGCTATGGTGTGCACTTTTCGATAGACTGCATCGGAGCTCAGCAGTTGGTAAAATTCAGTCCACCAGTAACCCCTCTGATAAACACATTAGCTATTCCTTTTGTCTCTGTCAACTCTAAGAATTCAACCCGTATTCCCTCCTTGTATTGAATTACGTCGTGAGCTTAGAAATATGCGTTGACTCGACATGCATGCATATTGGGTTCTTGCAGGTGCGGAGCAGCGCTGATGTCAAGCGATCCCCTGTTGGTCCAGTTACTCCATGTTTATGCTGATAGATCCGCCAGTATAGCTTATGTAACACTCGAGGGATGTCACGTCATGGTTATTAGCTCAGTTGATCAGTAAGTGGAACGAAGAGAATTAAAGTGTTCGAATGCTCTTGGTTTTCGTAGCGCAAAAATGTCGTTTGGTATGCTGAAAATATATCTCTATTGATGATGGGAAGCGGATAGACTAGATACTTATGGATTCAGTTCTATACCTATGTCTGCGCCACGCTGACAACGTGCAAGTAAAGGTTGCGGTGTGATGAGGTCACTGCAAACGCTGATGCGTAGTGTTGCTGTAGGCTGCCAGGACCGATCTTTGACCGGCCGACGCTTAGTATTATTTATTATCTCACTGCTGCACCAAAGTGCTTAATAAAAAAACACCAGTATCCAGTAGTAAAGGATACCACGACTCTTAGAGTGGCGTTCTGCATCGGCAGGCGCGCCTTCCGTTACCTTCGTACCTTCCTTTACCTCCGCGCCCTCTCTCGCCTCCGCGCCTTACACATATGGTGGCGTCTCACGTGCAAGCTCACAAAACTACAGAATTTGAGCTCTCACTCCATCTTTCTCTACATCAAACATGCAGCTGTGAGTAAATTGACATTTTTTTCCGCGTGGCAAGGTTATTAATTCGATAGATATAGTTTCTCATCACCATTGCTGCCCGGCCTCGACTCCTTGGCCATCGTGCCAGAGATGGGGGTCGCCCCTCTGCCTCAAGAAGGGGATTTCAAATGTGGCGTCCGCTTGCTTTCATCATACATCTTCAATTGCTCTTACAGTGCACGTTTATGTGTGTCGTAACTGAATGCATTCTAGTAATATGGCATGATGTAGCTAACCATTTCAATTCTACGAAAAAGGAGAGATGGAGGAGAGGGAGAAGAAGGAGAGGGAGAGGGGAGGGAAAGAGGAGAAAGACAAGAAGCGGCTGCCTCGCCACTGCCGCCGCCGTTACCGCCACCGCCTCGCCTGCTGAAGCGTGTTCAGTAGACTGGTGGTGCACCAGCAAAGCGGCTGATAAGTGGGATAGACATACTTTGCGCTTGAAAAAGGCATTTTGAGGCATTGCTAACGTTGATGTAGTGAAAGCAATTTGTCATTTTCGAGGAAGACGACCACGATGAGGACGAAAGCCCCGGGATCAACGTCGCTCCACCACCACGCTCGCCGCCGAAAGGCAAATGACACCGTTATCCTTTGCGCGGCAGCACAAAATGCCGAAGATATCATAATGGGATATGACCGACATTAGAAATCTAACCACAATTTGAAAGTCACTTCCTAGTGTTATCCTCGCCTACTCACCGCCACCATACTTCTCGATGAGACTTTTCATGATTCCTACTGCTCCACTGCGATAACTTGCCCCAAACATCGCATAGTGATTGAGGTGATGATACAGCTCATAAAGTTGCACGCGATCTTCATACTCGTTTACCGGCTCTGTCTTAGGACATAACTGATGATACTCCTTCATGAAGCTGCCGCCAAAGCCGCCAAACATTTTCATGATACCAAGCTCGAACTCACTGTGAGCATAGCAGGCCGATGAATCATAAACCACGTCTTCAACCTTTCCTTTTTCACTGCCGATCATGCCCACACTCGCGTTTCCGCTCCACAGATCCCCGTGAACAACCACGGGCGTTACTCGCTGGCCGTTGTTCAGGTGGCCATCGCCGATCAATCGGGGGACAACTTTGGTTGCGGTATGTTCGATAAGCTTTCGTAGGTCATTGTCTTTTCTGCCGCGCTGTTCTGCATGTCGGATAATGAACATGAGACGATTCTCGGCATAGAAGTCTGCCCAGCTCTCTTTGTAGCTGTTATCCTGTGGAGTCTCACCGCAGCATGTTGTAACAGGAAAGCCAAACATGGGCATGTCATATCCATCGGGTATAGGGGCGGGTGTCGTGTGCAATTGCGCAAGCTTGGCTGCTAGTGATACCGTCTTGGACGATCGGGAGGCCGAAAAAGAGTTGAGGTAAAGAAACTCAGTTACCAGAAACCATTTGGAAGGTTGCGCTACGAACTGTCCATAACCGAAAGACTGCGGACAAAGCGTAGGGACGGCTTTGTAGATGGCCTTTAGAGACGCGTCTTCACCTTTTCAGGGCGCTGTCAGTACTTATTGGCCAGCCCACGACCGCCAGATGAGCCGCACACACCTGCAAACATAACTTCAGCCGCCTTTCCACTTCCCGTCTTCATGAAATATGCCTTTTCTGATCCATCGTCGAGCCGGGATACTATCTGGGATGTGGACGCAAAACTACTGCCCCCAACGGATGAAATCGTGGTCTTATCAGAGTCCAAGCCAAGAAGTTTGATGAATGCTGGGTCGACCTTCATCATGGCTGTGTGTCATTGAAGGAGATGGCGCGAGTTTGAACGTGCCTCAGTATGGGTGTTGGGAGTTGGGATGTGGGGCCCTCAGTGACGTCAGCTACATTCTGGGCCGATTAATAGGGTAACATAGCTCATGGTTGAGCAGCCAAAATGTGCATCGCTTGAAGCGCCAACCTCCTCTATATTCTTTTCCGGGGCATCGTCACGGTGAATATGGGTGTAGTTGCGGCGAGAATATTAGTGTATTAGTTGTTGAGAGGCGAAGTACATGTACTGGATGGTTTGTTTCCTCTTGGGCTCGCGACTTTTAGAGCTATCATTTCACTGCTACATAAGAGAGATGAAGTCCGTGGTCTTATTTTCATTTAAATCATACCTGATGATTTAAAGATGAAAAAAACAGCTCTAGAAGGAAATACCGACGGAGATGTGCAGTCAGACTACGATTATGTAGGCACCCAAGGTATGGTCTTTCAACATGTTTATGGGCGTAAATAACTAGGATCGATAACTCAAACGACTGTTCAAATCGCTTACAAATGCCATCACTCTTTTGAAATATCTGGGATAGGCACCGGCCCCATAGGCGCTTTGCTTGTAGGCATGAATGCCTGGTGTATCGACCTCTTACCCCAACTAGCAGGATAGTCGATATTCGAATGGAGTAGACCATAGCTTCCGAAGAGAACCAAGTCGTGCTCTTCCTCCGGACCTACCCAAATATTCTCAGGCTTAATAATTCTGCTTTGGATCTTATCCAAAAACTTCCTCACTTCGCCCAAGTCATCGATAATCTTTGGAGTCTCATCTGGGCCGTCGCGGATATACAACCGACGAACCAAGTGATGCATACACTGGAATGACTTCTTGCCAGTAACGGGGTTAACCCAGACCAGCGGGTACTACGGCGTTGTTAGTGTTTAATAGATTAAGCTTCTTCCAAGTATGAACATACCCTCTTTTGCCAATCTTTACTTGCCCCTCCTAACTTTAACAGTTCTTCGTCTGGCTGCTCTCTGCCCTCAGTCACCACACCTAGGCCGTTCGGAGCATAATGACAGTCCTTGAGATTCTCAAATGGGAAGTAGTTGTAATCAGCCCAGCTATGATCCGCCATTCTCTTCTCCTCGTCGCTTAGCATGTCATACAACTGTTCAACATCTAGAAACGCTTGACGTCCTGGCCTAACTTCCATAGTCGTACCTGAGCCGTCGGCCCATTCTACAGTCTGCTTATCCAGGCCTTCTGTCGGAAACTTGATCGGTCGGAGAATAGTACACTTTGAAATACCGTGTCGCCAATAAAATCCGTTCATGTACCACACGTGAAAACGAGTCCGTCCAGCTTCAAAGTCCTCGTCCGAGAGTGGTATACTGTAGTAATGACTGAGGCTAGCGTTGCCCATGTCTAGACCTGGTTTGCCATAGCGTGGGTCGTCTTGGGGACCTTTCCCAATGAAGTAGAACAAACCCGCATCAGGGACCTTGATAGCTTGGAAGGAGTCCTTAATAAATGTTAGCGCTTTTCTACACTTGCTGTAATGTGGATGTTTGAGTCAATTATTAACTTACTCGAAACCACTGGTGAGGATGAAATAAGTTAATCATGTCGTCGTCGTCCTCAATTATCATTTCTGGATCAAGTGCTCGCAGCAATTCCCAAGAACGCTTCGGTTTGAGGTCATGTTGGCCTTTAATGATAAGAAGCTTATGCTCCCAGATCGCTTTCTCTAATTGGGCCACAATCTCTTCAGTAAAATTGTTTAGATCAAGACCAGTAATAACAGCTCCAAACTAGATAAAGTATTGTAAGCGGGGATTATATATAGGTATATTGTATAGACCTGATGGCTCGTACCTTGCATGTCTTCCCTTCAGGATGAACCAGAGGCTCGATCTTGAAGTTGCTCGCCATAGTGTCTTAAATAAGGGATAGGTGTGTAAGTTGAGTCTTGGATGTATAGAATGTCAATTGTGGCTCGGCGATTAATAAATGATAAAATAATCATTAAAATCTGCCCAAAAATTTGTTTGTTCGAAAGAGGCTTCCGCCCGGTGCGGAGAATTATACGGAAAAATTTAGTCGGTTAAAAGCAGACGTCGGGATCCGACATAGAATTAAATATGCCGATGCTTGCGACTTGCTCGCAGCTGAAACATTGCGGCAATTGAGTACACGTTGAGAAAATATATCCATAACCATAATAGTAAAAGACTCCTTTCTCTTAAATATTAGATCAGTCTTATTAATCCGCTCTCGTGAGACTCTTAGGCTGTATTTAGAGAGAGTGTTTTACAACTACTCTGTGTACGTATTATAGCATAGTATTACGCAGTAAAACCATAGATAAGTATTACCGTCTTCGTTTACACCAAATAGCTATTCACTATCATGAGTTCTCAAGTAGTAATTAGACTTTTGCTGTATTTCACTCTTTGATAATTTATGAATCGTCTCGCAAAAAAAGTTATTCAATGAAACACTTGTATAAGTCCAACTATTCTAGCATTGTGAGCAGCTTATCAAATGCTGCCATTGCCGAAGAAGATTAAACCTCGAACGCCTAGAGCCTCACAACTTTTCATGAACCGTTCCTCGAACAACAACTACCTGAATACCATCTCCATGCATGCTGTAAGGCACAAAAGTTTTCCGTTCTAGGCCAACTGTCTCTAGAAGGCGATCCCACTCATTCAGCGACCGCTCGCGTGCACCATAGTTGGCCATCATGAGCAAATCAAACGAGGCACCATACCAATGTGCGCCCTCATCGTGAATGACAAGCTCATCCAGCAGAATAACCGAGTCGGGAGCGAGAACCTCTTTGATCTGGGACAGAATATTATAGCAGACTTGATCTGGCCAATCATGCAGGATGTTTCGTAGATAGTAGATGCAGGCCCCTTTAACTGGTTGAGGCTTGGTGAAGTCATGGTGAACAACCTTTAGTCCTTCGATGGCCATGGCTGAGTCGATGGCTGCCCCGTGGGTATCCTGCAGCACAACACGCCCTTGCAGCCAAGGAAACCTCTTCAATGCCTCCCGGCACTGGTGTCCATAGCCGCCTCCTATATCCACAAAGAGCGTTCGGTGCTCATCCCCCACGCTGGACTTTGGCACGCACTTCTCGAGTGGAAATACATCAAGCCAGCTCTTTTGACCAACCCGCTGGATCGACATGTACTCGTTGAAGGCTTGTTGGTGCCGCGGTCGCTGCGACAGCCATTCAAAAAAGTGTAGATTGGTGTTCTTAGAGAGTTGGAATGGGAGGTTTTTGTTATCCTGAGGCTGTTTGTACGAATTCTCTGACATCCACTTTGGTATCGCATTGTACACTGCAATATTTCTCTCGGTCCTATAGGGCAAAGTCAATCATGGTTCGGCGATGAGACCTAGATCAAGAAGCCAACTTACACATGGAATATGACAGATTCTAGTCCCGACATGGACAAGTAGTGCGTTATATTTGTCGCCCTGTATTTGTCGATATCAACCTGCTCCACCATCCACTGCGTCGCTGCGTAGCGCAGTATTCGTATAAGTAGTGGTTTTTCAACGCCCAATTCGGTGGCTAGTTCACTAGCGCTTATGGCCGTTCCCCCTCGCTCAGAAAGGAGTCTCCATAGCCCCAGATCAATACCCACCTGCGCCATGTTGGGCGGCAAGGCACAAAAGATCAGCCGCTGCATGGTATCCCACGGTTGCTCTAGCTTCAAAGAAGCCATTCTAGCAGCTTCGAGAAAGCGTAAGCGTTTTTCATCATCATTGCAGAGGGATATGGGAATTTTTCCTGTCGCCAGAGACTCTAGGGATTCGAGGATACTGTCGGTTGCAATACTGTCATGAAGATCAGTGTTTGCAGTTTCAGGTAGAGATGACGTAGAAGCCATGATTGTAACTGAATCGGTGACTGGTTGGTATAGAAGCTGTTGATAGGAACGTTACGACAGTTTATAATGAGCAGTATACAGAGTAACATACGAGTACAACGCACGGGTATAAAGCAATATGGTTCCGGATAGAAAATATCAGTGCATCAATCGGCATGCTTGTTCAGGATTGTCGGGAAGTTTCTGCATTTTCGGTCGCCGATGCAGTAGCTGGAGAAAATCTTATTTAATTTAGGGATAGTATTCAGAACTTAATATAGAGTTTCCCATACTACCATAGCGTCCTCTCCAAACCCCGTGTAACACGGCGCTCAAGTCAAATATATACAAATCCATCCTAAGAAATCGATTATAACTACTTTTAAAACGTACACTCTACGCGCTATAGAGCTAAAGGTAGAAAAAGTAGGGTAATTTAAACACGTCTTACTACCAACAAAATATATATAGACTACCTAGATTACTAATCTAAAATGCTACCTAATAGTGATACTATTAAGGTACACCTAATAGGAGGAAGGCAGGAAATACTAAGGCTAGATACCTAAATCTAGAATAAGATAGAGATAGAAATCCCCTAACTAGCTACCCCTACTAATATCCTAATAATACCTAGCGTTTTTAAAATACTAATCCTACTACCTAATAAGAGATAAGCTAACTTCTTACCTTTTATAGGCTTAATACTTAGAGGCCTATTTATTTCTACTTAGAATAGAATACTAAAAGTATCTTTAGTATAAAAAGCCCTTAAGATTATAAGAAATTTAGTAGTCTAAGTAGCTAATTTAGCTAAGAATAACCTAACTTAGTAGACTAGCCTACTAGACCTAGTAGAAGTTTTTAGAGACTATACTAAAAATAGTAGAATAAATAAGAAAAACTCTATAATTTTAAGAGATTAGATCTTCTCTCTCTCTAATATCTTAAAGAAGCTAAGAGAGAAAGTTAGGCGCCTAGATAAGTTTATAATAACTACTACCTTTAGTATATATCTAGTCTTAGCTAAAACTACCTTATATATAATAGTAGTAGCTAGTAATAAAAAATAATCTTAAACTAATATCTAATATAAAAAGATAACTCTAAAATCTAAAACTAGCCTATTAGAGAGGTAACTAGTACTAGTTAGCGAAGTACTAGCTACTTTTAACGCTCTTAAACTAAGAAATACTTTTAACTATATATTTACTACTAAAGAAAGTATTTAATCTTCTATAGTAGCCTTAATTACGCTATTTACTAAAAGTAATAAAGTAGTTACTACTACTCTAGCCTTTATAGCTAAGTACCTACTAGAAAATTAAGATATCTAGAAGGATATTATAATCTATAAGGTTACTTAGCTAATAAGTCTATAGTATAAGGTAGTTATTTATAAACTACTAATAAACTATAGCCTAGAAATCCTAAAAGAAGAAGTTAAAACTTTTAATAAAGGCCTAAAAATAGTAGATCCTTCTTTCTAGCTTACTCTAGAGACTAGAAAAGAGAACTAGAACTTTAGATCTACCTATATTACTTTTACTACTAAAGAGGAAGCCTAAAAAGCTATTAGAGAAAAACTCTATATTCTTAGGTAAAGCCTTAGAGCTAAAAAGCTTAGAGTTATTAATAACTTAAAGTAATACTTAAAATACTAGAGCTTTAGCTATCTAAAGGCTAGGTATACTAAAATAGCCTATTAGATATATAGTAAGGCTTACTATACTAGCCTATATAAATATATATCTTACTTTATAAAAAGTAAAGTATATATCTATACTATATTTAAGTATATTAACTATAATAAATATTACGTAGTAAATAGCTCTAGCTATAATATCCTTATAGCTAAGACTACTAAAATAAGTAATCTTAATAACTAGAATAATAAAAATTCTATAAATAAATATTAATAGAAATAATACTACTATTAAGAGCGCGCTTAATCTAGCTCTTTAAGTAGACGCTAAAATCGTTATAGTATAGAAGCCCTAGCTACCTAAGAGACTCTTATACGTAAATACTAGATCTACCACTTACTAGAACTTTACTTAGATACTATCTAATCTAAAGGATAGCTCTCTAAGGCCTAGAGTACTCTTCTATATTAGAAAAGACCTAGAGATAGAAGTTAATCCTTATATTAGCGATAATAACGACTTAATAGCTATTAAAGTATTAGCTACTATCTTAAACCTCTATATCTATAACATTTATAATAAAAAAAGCCTTTAGGAAGGCCTAAACTAAACGATAATCTAGAGGCGCCTCCTATAAGAGACTATATAACCTCACTCAATTATTCTAGAGGACTTTAATACCTACCACCCTAGTAGACGCCTTAGCGATAAGTAAAGGCAAAGGTATAGAAGTTAAAGTAGCTTACTATAAAGAAGCTAGCCTAGTAGCTTAGGAAAAGGTTAATATAGAATATAACTAGCTAGTCTATAATAGAGAGCTAGAAAGTATCACTCTAGGCCTAGAGAGAGCTATTAATTTAGTAGAAGACTACCTAGAAGTTAGAGTATATATAGATAATTAGGCTATAATATTTAAACTAAAAACTACTTCTAATAACCCTAAATAAGAATAGTAACTTAGATATATTAGAGTAGTAAAAAAGCTTAAGAAGAAAGGCCTAATACCTATAATCTACTAGGTGCCTAGCTACTAGAATATTATAGGAAACGAAAAAGTAGACGCGCTAGTAAAGAAGGTAATAAAGCTAGACCCTAGCTCTAGTAGAACTAGCCTAGCTATTATAGATATATAGATTAAGTAACTAGATAAGTAAGAGTAGTATAGCTATCTAGAATAGTATAGAAGGAAAGCTATTACTCTTAACTTTAATACTTATACTATAAGGTATAAGTAGAAGATTAGAAAGTAAATTACTACTCCTCCTACTAGAAGAGAAGTCTCTAGCGCCTTCTTTTAGCTTAAGCTAGGATACTATTACTTAAGAGACTTTCTCTTTAAGTAAGGTAAAGTTAACTTAAGAGTATACCTCTATAACTATAGAGCTACTTAAGATCTTATATATATCCTACTTAGCTATACGCTATTCTAGAAGGCTAGAGTAAAGATATAAGAAGCTAGTAGGGATCCCTTATCGCTAGCTTTCTTACTATATATAAATATAGGTATATAAGCTATAATTAGCTTTATTAAGGAAACTAAGGCTGCGATATAGGCTTAGTATAAAGGAAACCTTAAGAACTAAGGTAACGCCTATAGTAGGTGCCCCCGCCCTATACCCACTTTACCTACCTCTTCTACCCGTAATACCCCCTACTACCCCCCTTGACACTAGGCTACGAGCCTTATCTTGATTTAGATAGCCCTCTCCCCTAAATACACTAAATTAATAGCACTACGTAGATACTTATAAGCCTTATCAGCTTGCACGTCTTATATAGCCTTTGGGCTGACATAGGACGTTAATCAATAATAATAATAATAATAATAATAATAATAATAATAGCGTCCTCTGATATGCAGCGAGGCGGAGGGAAAAGTCTGGCCGAACTACTAATATGGCAGCCGGGTTGATCTTCCAAGTGAGTAAGGTTATAGAGTTGACGTGTCTGACTAGCTCAATCATGTCTCCTGCAAAACGGCATCTACTCAAGGAGATAAGGCCTTCGGAAGAACAGAGAGATTGAACCACTCGGCCGACATTACTTATTCACCGAACTCTCGCTCCTTGTTTGGTGCTGGCGTGATTTTTAAGCAAGCAATTGTTAAGATGGCCTTGATATTGATCTAGCCCAAGGACATCAGTATGTACGGCCACAAAGTGACATGAAATACGCGTGTACCACAGTTGCTTGCATGGACTTAGACATGCATGCGTATCTGCATTTCAACTCGATGATGTCTGGGCTTATAACCGTGCACTCCTGTGTTTTTGACGAGTATGACTTCGCCCAAGCACAATGCAACACAGCCCGGTCAATTCAACGCCGAAGTATAAAAAGAAAGACGGCTAATATCATCTACACGGCTGAAAGCAGTTGGACTCTTTTCCCATTTCCCTAGATTCATTCCCTCCTACATCTGTAGCTTCATAGTCTCCACTTTCTCCGTCACTTTCCTTGCAAACTCGCCCACTAAATTTGCAGACAGCGCTAGGAGCTGATTCTTCATTGTTTCATTTTCGCTGACTAGCAGCCCTGACACTAGTATGTCCCGCAGTCGCTCGAGCACCCCTTGCACCTCGAGCACTCGCTTCATTAGTAGTATCCGCACCATGACTCGCCTATCAACACCCCGGATCGACAACGTTCCGCAGCGCAGCGGCTCGTGCTCGTCATCTACCGGTGTAAGCATAGTGTCATTGTTACTCTTACCGCCACTTATACTGCATGACGAAGATGATAGGGGTGATGAAGAAGTCCCGTTTTCGTGGTTTGGCATGGGCGCTAGTATTGACGTCCACAGCGAGATGCCGTCGGGTTTGAGTGCGATGAGAGCCCTGTCAATGACCTCGCAGATGATGAGCGCCATCGAAGGCCGCATATAGCATGCGTTGGGGCATCTCAGCGTGTTGCGGCAGCTGGTTATGACTATTCGAGACGTAGAGAGGCCGGCTGAAGTTGAGGCAGGATATGAAGTAGGTGATGCATGCGATAGGTGGCCAAGGAGAGCGAATGCGCAGCTGCATGATGTTGTCGATAGAGTACCGTGATTTAAGGAATGGGGAAACTGTAGCTGTGTTTCTTGTTGCGGAGAAATGTAGTGGCTGCAGCTTTCAATACTACTACTACCCGTGGATGGGATTAGCGGTTCTTCATGTTGCTGATCCGGATGGTGGCGTGATTCGTGGTCGTCTAGAGTAAGCAGCTCACAGTATGGGAGCCCTTCATCGAGAAGTATGGGCGTGGAAATGTGGATTTGTTGCTGCTGCTGCTGTTCCCATGTTGCTCCACAGAAGCCTACATCGAGAGGCTCTGGACCAATGCGGAACTCGGGCGACATCGAAAGATGGCAATTGCCCATTTCCTTTAAGGTGTTGTAATGTGAACTGGTGAGGTCCGGTAGGCCATGTAAAAAGTCATCATCCAGCAACTGACTTGGAGAAAAATCCACATTGTCAGAGCCCGGCCCTTGAATAGTCGGCGTCATACTGAGAATGGCGGATGTATTGGACATCATGCTGTGCGGAGTGACAGGCGCCATCCAAAATGATGCTGAAGTGGTGATGTCAGACTCTGCCGTAGATACCAAATCCCTCTTCGAGCTCGCGGGTGCACTATTACTGGTGCTCTGGGAGGTTTTGCTATTCTTGCGAGTGCGCGGTCGCCCTACACGTCTCGCTGGGCTGTACACACATTCTGTGCCTTTCTTTGCACATCTGCGACATTTCGGTCGTTTCTGATCACATCGGATCTTAGACTGCTGACAGCTGTCGCACGCAAGACGGTACTTTGGGGGTTTTTGCGTTGAGGCGCTTCCCTTCACGCTTAAGTCATTCTTCTGGCTACCCGATTCGGTGTTGACACTCAATTGAAAAGTCAGTAAGTAGTCGCGATATTGCGGTACATATGTGCCCTCAGATCCATAAGACAGGTGCACATAGAGTATATTTCGAGGCTTACTATTCGGCCATCGTATCCGTGCAGAAAATAAAAGGTACTAAATGGCTATTTGTGGAGCAGCACTGAACTCTTGTGCATTATATGATATAAAGGATTTTCAAACCAGTTTACAAGGAGTGATTCTATCCGCTGTGCAAAATGTCTAAATCACATAAAGCTTGGGTATTGAATTATCATACTGCACTGACGCGTGGACTATATGTAAAAGGGCCTTCTTCGGTTGTACGTAGTACACACAATGGTACCAGCGTACTGATTCGGGGAACGGAGAAAAAGAGACCCATATGTAAAAGGGCCTTCTTCGGTTGTACGTAGTGTCCACAGGTGCTAACGATTACTTGTAGAAGGTGCCTCGCTCCGGATGGTCCACAGATGACGAACGAGTGGACTGTCGATGGGACCACCGTCCCATTTACGACATACTGAAATCACTTTATATCTTTCTGCATGGCTGGAATTCTTAACTAGTCGATCTGCATGCGCCGCCTAGAAAACAGCCTTTCTCTTACTGGCCTACTGAGCATTATCCCCTGGCCGACTCAGGCATAGAAAAGAAGCGATGTGCCCGTGCAAGAAGGACAGAGCGTGCTCTACTTTGGCAGCAGGACATACATATGTTGACTATTCCGCCAACTAATACTAGAATCCTAACTATTACGTTGATTTTCTCCAATGGGACGGCGTATCAGCCCCTTTGCAGGCCTTATCGTTCACAATGAGCAGCTGCTATTTCTGAGCTGAGCTGCACAGTCGACTGCCGATTGCTTGCTAAATACGAGGTGTGTTTAATATTCTATAGTAAATACATAACCCAACCATCAGCGGTTCTGTCAGACCATGCACTAGTCGCTTATTTAATACAAAAGTTGTTTCAACAGCACAAGGTAGGTACAGGCAGAATCACTGAGTGTAGATTGGAGATTATTGGTAAAAGCGAAAAGAGAAGAGTGGGCCTGGAAGGTGTGATCTCACAGCACCGTTACCTTGGGCCTGATTATATAACATATTTTACCTCCTACTATCTATGAAGAAATAAGCAGCAACTTTCGTTAAGATGATAAACACTAGATTGGATGGTTTTCTACGGGTATATCTGGGTGTCGGCCTAAAGAGCTGCGATTTTAGCTGGTGCCTTCTGCTGCGCTCAATGTGCCGTCCAAAAAGGGCTTGCGATGAGCCTTGATAGAGAGTGGTATGTTAACATACGCCTATAATATTCAGGTCTCAACCCTACTATGAAATATACTGTCTCTTTTTGGGAATGTCAAAAAATAAGTGGAACTAAGCTAGGTATCGTTGAATTGCGAGCATATACGGAACATTAGTAAGTGATGGCGTTTAGAAAAATAGCTAGTCTTCGTTCATACATTAGGATCAAGACTACGTATAAAGCGTGCCATATGCGGAGCATACAAAGCTACATCTAGAGCAGCACTCGATGTCGAAGCACACCTCCTACCAATCGAGCAGCAGATATGGAAGCATAACGCTGACGTTATCATTCGGCTTCTCTCGAGCAAGCACATGGCGTACATAGCAAACCTTCAGGTGAGCAGGGCACAACCCGCTAGTGCAAGTACACGCCGCATCAGACACGTCGACTCCTGGCAGAAGATATATGATGATATGAAGGGGCAGCGCAGACAGGATCTCGAGACGCAGGAGCCAATTCCACCTTTCATCACCCCGCCTTGGCGACACGGCCCAAAGACCCACATAGACAAGAGCGCCAACAAAGCGCGTAGTCGACACGACAGAGAACATGAGAAGGATCAGAGCCTTAGCATCTACACCGACGGCAGTGGCATAGATGGCGAGATTGGTGCTGCAGCAGTATGCCTACTTACACAGCAGACCCGCACAGTACACATGGGGCCAGACACAGTCTCGACAGTCTACGCTGCCGAGCTACAAGGTATCAGCCTTGCACTGCAAATAGCACAAGAGTACGCAGAGCGAGGAGGTGAGAGGCGGAAGGTAGCCATCTACACAGACAACCAGGCAGCCATCTGGTCCGTGGCCAAGGCCGAGGGCCGATCAGGAGCATACATTCTCGCAGATATCGCAGAACGGGTGAAGACGCTCCAGGACATAGGCCGGCAAGTAACAATAAGGTGGATCCCAGCCCACACCGGCATCCCAGGAAACGAAGCCGTCGACAGGGCCGCCAAGGAGGCCACAGGATGGAGAGAGGACGGCCGCAGACACCCGCCAGCAGATGCGCCGCCCAGGCTCTATCGAATCAGATCAACCGTCAGACGCTGGTGCAGGATCCAAACAGAGCGAGCATGGATAGTCAAGTGGCGAGCAGAGGCCAAAGGCCGAGCAACTTACAGACACACACCGTTGCCTACTAAGAAAATACTCCAGATTCACGAAGGCCTTACTAAACGACAGAGCGCGCTGCTGGTACAGCTGCGCACCGAGAAGATAGGCCTGCGCGACTTTCTCTTCACCCAAAGAGTGCCAGGTGTTACCAGCTCCCGCTGCCAGTGCGGAGAGAGACGACAGACTGTCGCCCACATCCTGCTCCACTGCAGGAGGCTCAAGGACCTCCGGAACCAGGTATTCGACAACCTCCGTGGACGACACAACCTTCGGGCTATCCTAAGTAAGCCACAGCTAGCCACCAAAGCTATCCAATTTATAGAACAAGCGCAGATCCTTGGGCATGTTGGGATCGAAGACGCGTAGACGACAGCCGAGCGCTGGGGGGAGACTGTAGGTATCGCGGCCGCAAAATACGAGGCAGCACGCCTCTACGAGCCTATAAGCACAGCATACTATTAGTAGAACCATTATCTAGATGAGGTGGCAGCCAGATTGTAGATAGCGGTGGAGGGGAAACGGCAGGCCTCTAGGAACAGCTGGCTCCCATAAGGGAGTGACGTGGGGCGGCGCGGATTAACGTCCGCGCGGCGTCGGCTGTTGGCTACGCCAGCCATGCCGGGCATAGCTGCGGAGAAAACGCGGCTGAAACCGAGTAGGACTCAATCAATCAATCAATCAATCAATCGTATAAAGCGTATGCTGACTTTTGTTACAACGGTTTCCGTATCGGCGCATGGAGCCAATATAGCGTACAAAGTCAACACAGCGCATCTAACCTGTTATGAATAGACGTACTAAAAAGCATACTTCTGTAATTATGAATTCAAATCCGGTAGTATAAAACGCATCCACTTGTCTCCACATTCTCGCATTTAGTCTCAGCTCCCATTATTGAACGGTCTTCTAGGTCTACTTATTAAACTACCCACTTGTTTTGATCCGAGTCTGCACATTGTCCACTATCGTCTCCTCCAGCCCCACGAATCCAGGATGTCCAAGATCCTTCAGCAGCGCTTCCGCCCTCTGCCACGGACCGATCACGGCGAGTGGGAAGTCGAGGCCCGGAAGCTTCCCTGGAGGCCTGTAGTCCCTGACGAATTTTACAAAGATGTCAAAAAACTCATTGATGGAGTATGGAGAAGCGTATGCGAAAATCCGCTCGTTGGCGGTGTCTGGGTGGATCAGGCCGGCAACGTGAAGACGAGCGACATCCTGGACGTGGATGTAGTAGACTACTGTTGCGTCAGCCATTCGTGCAACTGTGGAACTTGAAAATAAACATGACATACAACGTTGCACGTGTTTAATGGAGTCAGTGTCGCCGTCCAAAATCTGGAGCGGGATTTTTGATGTAGAGGGAAAGCCCTGGTGAACCACGTCGAGCGGACTGCCGTAGATTGTGCATGGCAGCACTGTGTTTGCAGTAAAATGCGGCTTGTTATCCTTGATCCAATTCCAGAAAGCTTGTTCGGCCGCAACTTTGGATGCAAAGTAAGCTGTCATAAATTTCTGCATGGGTGGAAAATTCGCAGGCATGCTCCTGGCCACACTAAGCGTATGGTTATCATATTCACCGGACAACACCGTGTCCGTTCCGCGGTAAGCTTGTATGGAGCGGACCGCAGCAGAAGAAGATGTTAGGACGAATCGCTGTACACTTGGCTCGTTGGCAGCAGCCTGTAAACAGGCCAGCGTTCCCGCAACGGTGGTGCGGAGTAATTCGTCCGGTGTGACATCCATACTCCTCACCGAAGCAACATGGGCAATGGCAGAGACGCCTAGACGGTGGAATTTGATCAGTAACGAAACAGGGGCTCCCGAAGTAGGGTAGGGGTAAGTACCTGAGACTGCATCGTCAAACGCGCCCGGCTCTCTCATATCCTTGACGGTGACAAGTTCGAACTTTTCGGCACCATACTTTTGAGAGAAGAGCTGTGCTAGCCATTGGTGCTTGGCAGCATCTCGGACGGTGCCTCGCACTTTATAGCCTCGGTGGAGCAGCTGGTCTGCAACGTGGGCGCCAACAAAACCATTAGCCCCCGTTACAAGGACAGTGGAGCCTGAAGCGATTGCTGGGTTATCTAGAAGAGCCATTTTTGTAATGAACAACTGGATAAGGATGGAAGGTGATTAGCCGGTCAGTGTATCACACTCTGGCGTGATACACAAGTGATGCGATAGTAGCCTTGATATCTCGTTTTTTTGCATTGCTCGACATTATGTTGCAAGAGCCGGCAGTAACTGACTTGGGACTATTTCCAAGTCTCGGTGAATTTACTGAGTTGCATGAAAGTGGAAATGAAGCCGTTTCAGGGTTGTGAGAGCAAGAGTTGCGGTCCGTTCGGTGGAAATCCGGTTTCCGGCTGCTAGACCGGATACAGTACTTGTTTAAACTTTGTCTAAAAAACAGGGCCGAAAACAGCATCGTATTCAGAAAACGGACATTTTAGTACTACTGTAAAACAGCACTGAAAAAGCTAGGCACGTAATCTCACATGACTATCCAATAAAGCTCTAGCTGATTAGCTAGCTATTACGCTAGTAAGCCCCCCCTTAATATAATACGAAACTTAAACGGGAAACAAAATATAACAAGAAAACGGAGAACGGAATAGACCCTTGGTAGCCGTAGCGTCAGGGGCTCTTTGAACTAGATAGGCTAGCTATTTACTAAAACAATACACCGAGCTCTTATATAATAATCCGCACTAAAGACTAGAAATATTAGACATTTCTTATTAAATTCAATTATTCTTAAAAGAGTATTTATTTTAAATATAAAAACTATATTACTTTCATATTACTTAGGTTTTAAATAATAAAATATAATTAGTAGAGTTAGAGTAGTCTATAAAATAACTTAGTATTATATTCTATTAGTTTTTTTTTGAACTTTTTAGTAATACTAAATATTATATTACTTCTACTTAAGCTATACTTTTAATACTTATGATAATTATAATTTATTATACTAGTACTTATATTATAAGTAAATATTAGAAAATATTATTTGAGCTTAAGAATTAAGTATCTATTATAAAGCGCTTAAACCTAATAGTCTGGTGTTCTTATTATTTAACCTTTTATATAAATTATTATTTCAAGTATTGATTTTTTAAAAATATTTATTTTAGTATATTAAAGTAAAGCTTTCAGTTCTTTTCTAAAATATAACTATAAAATTAGCTTAAGACGTAATTAATAATCTAATTTAAGTAGTAAAATTAAGTAATAGTAAATATAAATCTTTAAAATATTAATTATATAACTTTAAAATAAGTATATTAGAATAGAGAAAAAGAGTATAGGATTATAAGTCCTACATATAGTAAATAAGTAGATAGAGAGATAATCTTTCTAGAATCTTACTATAAAGGAAGTGTTATTTTAAATAAGAAGTATATTTCTATTTATCTTCTTATTAATAATCTTCTACTCTACGCTAAGATACCTATCTTATAGTCTATCTTATACTCTAAGTATATTAGTATAAGGGTCACGTGCAACCCTATGCACTAGCATAATATCTATTACCATAGAGTTTAATTCAAACATTACTTATAAATATAGTATTTAAACTAATATTTTATTAAGATTTTATCTAGTTTAACTACTTATAACTTTATGTTACAAGTAATAAGAAGGATTCTCTCCTTAACAAATAACGAGATGGCTGAAGGCCTAGGGACGTCCACGTTAGAAGGTAATAATTAACGCGGGGCGAAGATCACGTGATATAGTATCTCGCCAAGACAGGATATCTAGAGATGCCAGACCCTCTAGAGAT